TCTACCAGAGGACAGCCATCCTAAACTTCACAAGCATGTTCTGATACAGGTAAAATAAATACGTTATATGTTTTCAACAAAGTTTTCCTGGTCAATACAAACTTGAACTTTCGAAGTACTGATACCTTTTTCATGTACGATTTGTGAATTTCAGATAAATGTAACGACCATTTTGCATCTACACCAAATTACTCCTAAATCTTTATAGCGTTCAACACAATTAATTTGTTAACAAAAGAAATTTGTCAATGCAAAACATTTCTTGAATTGGATATTTATAACACATCAGTTTTCTGTGGATTTAACTTAGTAAGTCAATCTCTAGACCATTTATCAAGTTTTTCCAAATCGCTGTTGACAGACTTTCGATATCAGAATAAGCGATGAAGAATACATCCAACAGGTATCATCAGCAAATAAGCGTGAAATACTATTCAAATTGTCAACATTACCATTAGTATATATAAAAAATAACAGAGGACCTAAAACACTTCATTGTGGAACACCAGCATAGGGATAATCTTTGTTGGAATATGCATCTTTTATTAGAACCTGTTGTTGTCTGTTGGAAATTTAATTTTCTTACCAGAATATTAGACAAGTATGTTTTGTTTTTCTTTCAATGAACAATATTTATCATGGTAAATATCTATTAATTGGTGAACAGTTGAATGATGAGTCAAAAAACCAGATTGTTTTCCATAAAATAATGAGTTATCAAGAAAAAAATATAGATATACTTGAAAACAACTCTTCCAAAGACTTTACCCATACAAGACAACAAAGTAATTGGTCGATAGTTTGACACTAAATTAGATATTTTGCCAGTTTTAAAATGTACATGCGAATTATGGGATTGTTATACCAGATTTGCATCAACAATGCTAGAAAAGCTGCTCGTAGGCCGTCCTTCTTATGCGCACTGAATCAGGTCTACATCATCTTTTCAAAACGTTGAGAAAATTCCAAAATTTATATAACTTGTAATGCCTGGAACGTTGTTGCATAACACTTGTTTAATGACAGTGATGTCACTTTTGGGTTTTGTCGTGTGCGCTCGACTGTATAGGCACCCTTCGGCTGTCAAGCTTAACACTATAACATGCCTTGATAGAGTGAAAACGAAGGAAGGTAACTCAGGGAGATCAGAATGGCTTGAGTGAAACAAAGGGCAGTAACTCTGGGAGATCAGAATGGCTTGAGTGAAACAAAGGGCAGTAACTCTGGGAGATCAGAATGGCTCGAGTGAAACAAAGGGCAGCAATTCAGGGAGATCAAAATGGCTCGAGTGAAACAAAGGGCAGTAACTATGGGAGATCAGAATGGCTCGAGTGAAACAAAGGGCAGTAATTCAGGGAGATCAGAATGGCTCGAGTGAAACAAAGGGCAGTAACTCTGGGAGATCAGAATGGCTCGAGTGAAACAAAGGGCAGTAACTATGGGAGATCAGAATGGCTCGAGTGAAACAAAGGGCAGTAACTATGGGAGATCAGAATGGCTCGAGTGAAACAAAGGGCAGTTATTCAGGGAGATCAGAATGGCTCGAGTGAAACAAAGGGCAGTAACTATGGGAGATCATAATGGCTCGAGTGAAACAAAGGGTAGTAACTATGGGAGATCAGAATGGCTCGAGTGAAACAAAGGGCAGTAACTATGGGAGATCAGAATGGCTCGAGTGAAACAAAGGGCACTTATTCAGGGAGATCAGAATGGCTCGAGTGAAACAAAGGGCAGTAACTATGGGAGATCAGAATGGCTAGAGTGAAACAAAGAGTAGTAACTATAGGAGATCAGAATGGCTGGAGTGAAACAAAGGGCAGCAATTCAGGGAGATCAGAATGGCTCGAGTGAAACAAAGGGCAATAACTATGGGAGATCATAATGGCTCGAGTGAAACAAAGGGCAGTAACTATGGGAGATCAGAATGGCTAGAGTGAAACAAAGGGTAGTAACTATAGGAGATCAGAATGGCTAGAGTGAAACAAAGAGTAGTAACTATAGGAGATCAGAATGGCTAGAGTGAAACAAAGGGCAGTTATTCAGGGAGATCAGAATGGCTCGAGTGAAACAAAGGGCAGTAACTATGGGAGATCATAATGGCTCGAGTGAAACAAAGGGTAGTAACTATGGGAGATCAGAATGGCTCGAGTGAAACAAAGGGCAGTAACTATGGGAGATCAGAATGGCTCGAGTGAAACAAAGGGCAGTAACTATGGGAGATCAGAATGGTTAGAGTGAAACAAAGGGTAGTAACTATAGGAGATCAGAATGGCTCGAGTGAAACAAAGGGCAGCAATTCAGGGAGATCAGAATGGCTCGAGTGAAACAAAGGGCAATAACTCTGGGAGGTCAGAATGGCTCGAGTGAAACAAAGGGCAGTAATTCAGGGAGATCAGAATGGCTCGAGTGAAACAAAGGGCAATAACTCTGGGAGGTCAGAATGGCTCGAGTGAAACGAAGAGCAGTAACTATGGGAGATCAGAATGGCTAGAGTGAAACGAAGGTTAATAATTCTGGGAGATCAGAATGGCTCAAGTGAAACAAAGGGTAATAATTCTGGGAGATCAGAATGGTATCCCTGTTTCACTATCATTTTCCAACAATTGACGTGAACGAACGTGTCTCATATACAATGACATTGATATAGCCAAACCTAGAATAATTTACTTATTCTGTCATGGTTATTTCGAAAGCCAATCCTTTATTTTAATTATATTGAGTGCTGATCATTTTGCTGCAATTGAATAACGAAACGCTACCACATCTGGTGTTTGTTTTATAGCTACACCCGGCGTCATACCTTCCACTTTTCAGCGACTGTTGCTTTCAGTTACCCTGGCTCTCAAAGTACAACCATGCATACTTCTAATTCAGTTTTGAGGATCGAAAGTTGAACGTTATACGCATTGAACAAATTGAGTGGGGTTTTTTTACAGAATTTTGGTCACGATTTAGGTTTATTTGAAAATCTGTTGCGTCATAATCCAAATAGTACTAAAACCGGTATGACTTCAATCAAATAGCACTATAACCAATATGACTTCGATCAAATAGCACTACAACCAGTAGGACTTCGATCAAATAGCACTTATTTTGACCTAAGGTACTATATAGCACTACAACCGGTAAGACTTCGATCAAATAGCACTACAACCGGTATCACTTCCATCAAATAGCACTACAACCGGTATCACTTCCATCAAATAGCACTACAACCGATTTGACTTCCATCAAATAGCACTACAACCGGTATCACTTCCATCAAATAGCACTACAACCGGTATCACTTCCATCAAATAGCACTACAACCGGTATCACTTCCATCAAATAGCACTACAACTGGTTTGACTTCCATCAAATAGCACTACAACCGGTATCACTTCCATCAAATAGCACTACAACCAGTATCACTTCCATCAAATAGCACTACAACCGGTATCACTTCGATCAAATAGCACTACAATCAGCATGACTTCGATCAAATAGCACTACAACCGGTATGACTTCCATCAAATAGCACTACAACCGGTATGACTTCCATCAAATAGCACTACAACCGGTATGACTTCGATCAAATAGCACTACAACCAGTATCACTTCCATCAAATAGCACTACAACCGGTATGACTTCCATCAAATAGCACTACAACCGGTATCACTTCCATCAAATAGCACTACAACCGGTATCACTTCCATCAAATAGCACTACAACCGGTTTGACTTCGATCAAATAGCACTACAACCGGTATGACTTCCATCAAATAGCACTACAACCGGTATCACTTCCATCAAATAGCACTACAACCAGTATCACTTCCATCAAATAGCACTACAACCGCTATCACTTCGATCAAATAGCACTACAACCAGCATGACTTCGATCAAATAGCACTACAACCGGTATGACTTCCATCAAATAGCACTACAACCGGTATGACTTCCATCAAATAGCACTACAACCGGTATGACTTCGATCAAATAGCACTAAAACCAGTATCACTTCCATCAAATAGCACTACAACCGGTATCACTTCCATCAAATAGCACTACAACCGGTTTGACTTCGATCAAATAGCACTACAACCGGTATCACTTCCATCAAATAGCACTACAACCGGCATGACTTCGATCAAATAGCACTACAACCAGTATCACTTCGATCAAATAGCACTACAACCGGTATCACTTCGATCAAATAGCACTACTATCAGCAAGACTTCAAATAGTTTGACTATAATTAAATTCACCTACGTAGCATTTATTTTGACCTAAGTGATGTATATATAGACCTAATTGATGTTTATATTGACCAAACTAATGTTTATATTGACCAAACTGATGTTTATATCGACCTAATTGATGTTTATATTGACCTAATTAATATTTATATTGACCTAACTTGACCTAATTAATGAAGTTTATACTGGCTGGAACCCTCTCGAGATTGAAGTAAGGAAAACTGGCTGGAACGCTCTAGAGATTGAAGTAGGGAATACTGGCTGGAACCCTCTAGAGATGGAAGTAGGAATACTGACTGGAACCCTCTAGAGATTGAAGTAGGGAATACTGGCTGGAACCCTCTAGAGACTGAAGTAGGGAATACTAGATGGAACGCTCTAGAGATTGAAGTAGGGAATACTGGCTGGAACTCTCTAGAGATTGATGTAGGATACTGACTGGAACCCTCTAGAGATTGAAGTAGGGAATACTGGCTGGAACCCTCTAGAGACTGAAGTTGGGAATACTAGATGGAACGCTCTAGAGATTGAAGTAGGGAATACTGGCTGGAACCCTCTAGAAATTGAAGTAGGAAATACTAGCTTGAACTCTCTAGAGATTGAAGTAGGGAATACTGGCTGGAACCATGAATGTTGTGTTGATCAGCCTTGAATTACCAGAAGAAACCAAAATAATAATGCTGAACTTTCCTCGCTTTTAATTCAATCATAAAGGAAGTTCTCATCAAGGTTATCGTTTCATATACATATCTATAGAGATACATTATACCACATGACAAAGAAATACCACTCATTCCTTGTGAATGTAATTAATACACTTTTACAGTACTTTGTTCATGTCTATATATAAACATTGCACCACATGACAAAGAAATATTACTCATTCCTTGTGAATGTAAATAATACATGTTTACTGTACTTTGTTCATGTCTATATATAAACATTGCACCACATGACAAAGAAATACCACTCATTCCTGAAAAATACACATAATGTTTCAATGACAAAGCTAATTTTTAAAGGTATTCCATTTTCAGTACCACTGGCAAACAATGGAAAGGGTGATAACTCTACATCAAGGACATGTTATTGTTACAGGGCCGCAATAACAAAATAACCTCAATAACCTGTATCTCTCACCTGGTTGTGTTAACTGAAATTGATTAATCAAAACTAGCATTTCAAGTAACACAGTGAAGTTAATCTGTAATTTTTATCAACACTGGAATGTGAATCTGACATTTTTATCAAAGCGATGTCAACCTGACATTTATATTGACACAGTGATGTCAATTCAACTTTTTTATCAACACTTTGATGTCAAACTGATATTATAGTGATGTAAACCTGACATTTGTATTGACATTGCGATGTCAATCTGACATTTTCATCAACATTGTGATGTAAGGTTGCCAGATCAATCAACACAGGAGGAGGAGCCTTATGCTTTAGTTGATAAGGTGACATCAGCAGACATTGTAATGGTCATGGCTATATCAAGCTGATGTTGGCAAGACATAATAATCTGACACTGTGATTGACACTGGGCGATGTTTCATCGTGCACTGAAAATCCTCTTTCTTCACAAAGTTGTCACATAAGGCTCACTCTTTGATATCAGGAGTTCGACTCCATGGCTTGACACTGTAATTGACATTGAGCAATGTCTCGTAAAGCACTTTGTATCTGTTCCAAAAGTCCTTCCCCTTTACTGACAATATCCTCTAAATTCTTGGCTGTGTCTTGATTTTCTGTTTCCAGCTTCTTTAGAGTAGCAATCTGAAAGTAACAAAAAAATCTTGCCATTTGGTTTTTTATTTAAGTACATTACTTCTATGTTTAACCATATAGGAACAGGAATGAAAACAATCAATACCAAGACAAATCCTCAATATATAGTCTTGATCAGGACATCAATAACGTGTCCTGTGACTGTGTATACTTCTACCTGTAGCTCTAGTGACGAGTCCTCAACAGGTAGTGACTCGATCAGGACATCAATGTCTTTTGCTGTTCTGGCAATAAGTTTGGCAAATATGGCAGCATAATCTGAAACAGGAGGATAACTACATTTACTGGTAGTTGAAATAACATAGGCACATAGTTTGAATAATTCTGGTGTTCTATCAACTTCTTGTATCATTCTTGAGTAGATGAACTTCCGAAAAACACCCCAATAAAAAGTGAAGGAAATAAGCAACTTAGGAATTGATTGGCTTTAAACAACAACACCACACCGACACAAAGTTCTGACAAGAACAAGAGGCCCATGGGCCTTAACGGTCATCTGACAAAAAGCAAGCCAAACCTAGAAAGTGGGTTGAGGTCATTCATTTGAACAAACTTGGTAGCCTCTCCTCCAAGCATCTTACAGGCCCAATATCAGCACTCATGGACTTTTGCTTGTTGAGAAGAAGTCGTTTGTATATTTTAACATATTTGACCCCTGTGACCTTGAAAGTGGGTTGAGGTCATTCATTTGAATAAACTTGGTAGCCTTTCCTCCCAGCATGCTACAGACCCAATATCGGCACTCATAGACTTTTGCTTATTGAGATGAAGTCCTTTGTATATTTTAACATATTTGACCCCTGTGACCTTGAAAGTGGGACAAGGTCATTCTTTTGAACAAACTTTGTAGGGCTCCATGCCAGCATGCTATGGGCCAAGTATTAGCCCCCTAGGCCTTCTAGTATTTGAGAAGAAGTTATTTAAAGATTTTGACATATTTGACCCCTGCGACCTTGAAAGTTGTTCAAGGTCATTCATTTGAATAAACTTGGTAGCCTTTCCTCCCAGCATGCTACAGACCCAATATCGGCACTCATAGACTTTTGCTTATTGAGATGAAGTCCTTTGTATATTTTAACATATTTGACCCCTGTGACCTTGAAAGTGGGCCAAGGTCATTTATTTGAACAAACTTTGTAGGGCTCCATGCCAGCATGCTATGGGCCAAGTATTAGCCCCCTAGGCCTTCTAGTATTTGAGAAGAAGTTATTTAAAGATTTTGACATATTTGACCCCTGTGACCTTGAAAGTTGTTCAAGGTCATTCATTTAAACAAACATGATAGCCCTTTATCCCAGCATGCCACAGGCACAATATCAGCAATCTGAGCCTTTTGGTTATTGAGAAGAAGTTGTTTAAAGATTTTAACATATTTGACCCCTGTGACCTTTAAAGTGGGTCAAGGTCATTCATTTGAACAAACTTGGTAGTCCTTCATCCCAGCATGTCACAGGCCCAATATCTACACTCTGAGCCTTTTGGTTAATGAGAAGAAGTTGTTTAAAGATTTTAACATATTTGACCCCTGTGACCTTTAAAGTGGGTCAAGGTCATTCATTTGAACAAACTTGGTAGAGCTCCATGCCAGTATCCTCTGTGCCAAGTATTAGCCCCCTAGACCTTCGAGTATTTGAGAAGAAGTCGTTTGAATGAAAAGTTTACGGACGGCGCACGGCGGACGACGACGGACGAAGCATGATGACTATAGGTCATCGGACCCTTCGGGTCAGATGACCTAATAAAAAGTTTGATAAACAATAACATTTTCCTTTGGAACCTAGTTCTAATAGTACATATCGGATTACATCCCTGGTTAATAGGGGTACTAACATTCTGTCTTCTTTCTTTTAAGGAAAAAATAAATATATTCTGCATTCTAACCACAAACATTAATGTTTATATTAAAATGAATCATGTAGTAACATTTTAAACAATTTCTTCTAATGAAAAGAGTTCAACAGACTATAGCTGTCAAAACGAAGATAATAGCCAGTTGGCCATTTTGTTTCTACAATCATGATTTGGACAATGCAGAAATAGGGACTAGATTGAACCTGTATATGGAATTTGAAAAGGATCCATATTAGAACAACCACTGATTGATGATATTTTCTGGTCAGTCCAAAGTAAAGATAGCATACTTAGGTATCAGAAGGTCCTTTCTGATGAAATCTGAGAATAATCAAGTGCTGCCCTAGTGATAACAAACCACAAAGTCTGCACCCAAGACCGCCACTTGTTGGCTATTTTCATCACAATCAGTCTCAAAATAGACATAAAACAACTAGGAACCTTCACATGAAACTTAAGAAAGATCCATTCTGTACCTCTCTAGAAATAACAATAAGAAGAGTTGTTAAGGAGTAACAACAGATGAACAAATGCACCACAGACGCAGGATGCTTTGGACATCCTACCATGTGATGATGGCAAATACTCCCATTTTTTAACAGTTTCTATAAAACAACCAACCTTCTTGTGTATCAGTTGGAGACTTTCCAAGTTGTTTCTCAAATCCAGCAAATGTACTAGGAGGGGAGCACTGCTGGAGAATTCCAACGCTGTTACAGAATTGGTCAGCTAGCTGTGGAAAAAACCACACACAAAATGATTCACCTACCTGGTAGTATTTTAGAGCATCATTTCCAGTGTGAAAAGTGCGAAAATAAGACGAGGAACCAAGGGAGATAATAATCAATAAATTATGTATACAGAATATGAAAATAATATTATACATGATATATATTTACATGGTGTGATGTTATATGGGATGATTTCTCACTGCTGTGTATGCTTAAAGAGAAAAGTGTAAATTGGGAATGGGGAACCAGTAATTAATTACCACTTATCTCATATGAGTAATAGTCCTGCATTTGAGTGATAATTATCACTTTGGGTAATTATTTAAAGAGCCAGACCCACTTCTCGACCGATATCATTTTATATATAAATAAATAAAATTCATGATTTTCTATTTTTCTCTGGCAGCAAAAGTTCTGGCTAATCCTGTAATACTGCAATTTTAAAGTGAATCACTACCAATCTAACATAATAAATAGTTTTAAAAAAGAATTTGAAACGACTCAGTGCTAATCCATAATTATGCCAGAAGTCCTGCCCTCTGACGCATGCACAAAGAACTGTAAATAAATCTGACGTCTTTCAACATGGCAGAGCGTGCGAAGGAAGTGGGGAAGAAAAGGTGTTGTTAGACTCTGAGGCGAAAAGAAAGAGGATGGCTGGTTGATACTCTGTATCACTCTCTGTATGGCTCTCTTGTGTAGTATCACTCTAAAATCATATTCATAAATACTCTTATCATTGAATATTCGCTTTAGATAGATCTATTTCATGATGTTCTATATGTTTGTTACAGTATCGTTGTCCCCATTTGAGGGCCTCTTGGCAATTAATCGTAGTTTTTCTTGTAATCTGCACATTTTTGTGTCATATCTAAGCATTGAAAGATGTGATCAATAGATACGTTAGATGATTTCCATACAGGAAATATAGAGTATTGATTGCATTATCGGTAAAATCTTTTTACAAGCGATGTCACATTGACATACAACTCACCTCTTCCTCCATTTTTGTTTTGGTTCTGACCGCGTCTGAATGTATCACATGACTTTTCCTAATCAATATTCATATCCTGGTGTTGATTAATGAGACTAATTCTGGCACCAATATCTCTGGTACCCTTTCAATTTCAAGTTTGAAACTTTATACAAGTCTTTATTTATATATTATCTATTAGTATACAACAACATTTCCAGTGAATAAAATATAAAAAAAATATCTAAAACAGAGTGGATCTGGCTCTTTAACCAAAATGCAAGGTCATTTGAAAATGAAATATTTTTACATGGCCCAATAACCAATACAATGATGCACATTTTCACACAAGAGACTGTGAATTATCTTGTCTCGCGTTTTGTTAAAATCACAAATTGTATCACCTCCATTCAATATCAGCTGATTGTAGTGAGGCTAAAAAAAAGAGGACATGCCCACCTATGCCATTTGCACTAAATACTGCCACTTAGTATACAATGAAGTCGGTGGAAAACGAAGTCAATGATACAAGTACTAGTTTTCCTTTTAACACAGAGGTAGATATCGTAGATGAATATTTCCTTGGCAATTACATACATTGTCACATCGACTATTGGGTTCGGTATAAAGGATGGCTCCCTTTTCTGTTGCAAAAATTTCAACGATATTTACGTGTTTCTAATTCAGAATTATCCTGCATTTTAGCAAATAACTGATTACCCGAAGCAGTAATTATTCCTCAAATGCAGGACTTTAACTCATATGAGAGGTTGTCTAACTTGATCCGTTTAAAGCCTGCAAGAACGGTAAAGACAGTAGATACAGTTTGTTAGAACTAATCGCGCTAACATCTTATATTTTATGTCGAGTAATTGACGGCCGCTGAAATGCGTCACAATTTAAATTTGACAAACCTGATTCACAGCATCTTGTAACTGAGTGAGTCTGTCAGCCATATTTAACAAAGTATTCGTCTCAGTCTGCTAAGCGTTTGACAATCGGGAATCCTCGGCACTTTTTAGAGAAAGTGCCGAGAGTCCCCGACTGTCCAGTGGTATTCTCTCGCTGGCGGAAAGTGCCGAGGGTTCCCGACTGCTTCCTCTCCTAATTTGAAATAATTATAATTACATATATCTTTCATCGATTCAACTGGTTAAATTTATGTAATTTAAATTTAAAATAAAGCGATGTTTATAGTTTACACTTAATAATTTCGTTTCCTTTTTATTCCATTTTTTTAAGTATTTCCCAGATTTCCTCGTAGCAACTTCCTTTCGACATCGTTCAACAATCGGCACTGGTTTGTCCTACGTTTCGTGTCATACATAGACTTAAAAGTAAGGTTAATCATAACCTATAATGATATAATTTGTGTTCAGATAATTGTTTATGAGCTTTTATATTATTTCGATATAATTTTGAAGAAATTGAATGCGTTATAGATCATTTTGAGCTGTTATTAATACGACTCGACTCAACCACGTGGTCAGGTCTGCTTCCGCCATTCCTTGTTAATGTAATGCACCCAGTCCTTGCACCTTAAATCCCAATCACCTTGCCCCTTAAATCCCAATCACCTTGCCCAATACGTGTTTCCTGTCTACATTATATAATTCCATAAATAATCATTCTTTGACGCCACTTATCGTATTCTCTATCTTCGCTATGGTTCCCAGAAATGTATATACTTCAAACTGCCTTTGCGTTGCCACATTTTCTATTTTATTAGACTGTGGTGTCATTAAAAGGCAAACAGAAAATGGCTGTGATTGAATTCTTGTTAAAACCTACATGTGGTTATGACAACTGTGGATCAGTCAACAACAAGAATTGGACTCCTGACGACGCTTTTCATGTCGCAGGGTAGAAAAAGAAGAATATATAGTTCTACTGCTCACAACTTTTGAGGTGTATAATCAGGATGTTAATAGAGTCGTACTGAGATAGATCGATAGCCAACTGCGTTTCTGCTATGGGAATTTTTCTAGGTAGGCTTTTCCAGTCTTGTAGCCGGAGATTTCATGCAATTTAAAAAATAACATTAACAAATCATGACCATGGACATGCTGTTGTTCATCAGGGCTCAAAAATTAGTTATGTTTCAGTAATCAGATGTAGATCTGTTCAAATTTGATTTCATAGGTTGGCTGTATTAGTCAGTATAATGTTTTGCCTGGTGCAAATATCTTTTTTTTGGTACAATGAAAGAAGGAAAAAAATCAGAATTTCCTTTTCAGTTCGTAAGAAGTTTCTTACACAGACTGTCATAACTTATATTCAAAACAACAAAAGTATGAAATACATTGTAGTTAGGAATATTAGACTGTATTTAAGAACTGGTTCATGGTAAGATAATAATCATGATTAAAAACACTTAACAACTTCAAAGGCAGATAAAGCGACATTACTATTTGTATATATGCTTAATATTCAATCCTTCAAGAGATTAGGATAACAGTGAATTCAAACAAATCACTGATCGCTTATATACACATCATGGTGTGTCTACACTAAAACTTGTGTACAAATATGCAGGTGCAATAAAGGTAAATTCTAGCTTGACAATGGACAGCACTTCACCCTTCAGCAAAGACACTAAAGAAGTACGATACATAGCAAAAATTCTGGGCATTTGCTTCTCCATTTATTTTGAAGTTTGTGGTTTATGTTTGTGAGAAAAAAGGTTTACTTCGCCCAAAGTGATCATTTTAAAGCCTTTTTACCTTCATAAGAGATAATTTCAAGCAAACGTAAAATAAATTTTATGGACATACTGGTGTAGTTATTTCCTGACCAAAAGTTTTGAGTCTGACTACAATCAGTGTTAACAGAATACCTCTAATAGTGACAGTGTTCCCATTCATTCTCCTTTTAATTTGCTTGTATAACATCTACTATTTACACAATTTCATGGAGGTGCTTTTGTACACGTGTGTCTTTAATTACAAGTGTTACTGTTGTATCCTTTCAGCATGCGTTACGTAGCAGCCTATTTGCTTGCAAGCCTTGGAGGAAATGCTAATCCATCAGCAGCAGACCTTGAGAAGATCATTGGGTCTGTTGGCATTGAAGCTGAGGCAGACAAGATCAAAAAGATTATCAATGAACTGAAGGGAAAAGACATTGAAGAACTTATTGCTGCAGGTAATAACCAATGTCTACTTTATAACAAGTTCACAGAAAAAAAACCTAAATAACAAGCTCTGGCAGTTATTATTTCATCTCGCTGCAAGTTCTTTGAAGCAGATGACATTTTTCCTAGGTGGATACAATTGATCTGCTATCTAATACCTCGAAATAAATTTTGAAGGTATAGTATAAATTTACGTACATGTGCTTTGGAAAGAAATTTTAGAGAATGATGGTGGGAACACAAGAAAGAAATCTTCCATAACTATTTTTTGCTTCAGGAACTGCAAAGCTTGCCTCTGTCCCATCTGGAGGTGGTGCCCCCGCTGGTGGTTCTGGTGGATCTGCACCTGCTCCTGAGGAGAAAAAGGAGGGTGAGTTGTGCTATGTAAAATCATTGTTAACACAGAATTCTGTCCTACTGGGTGAATTTTCTTCACAAGGATCAAATTGAAATAATCCAGTATGTATTAATTATCTGGTCAATGGAGTTTCTTCACAAAATAAGACAGAAAAAGTCACATCCCAAATTGTCAATAAGAATTGCTTTTCAGTTGATTAATTTGGATTCTGGCTCTTTTCCTTCTTTTTAGTCCATCATCATCCAATGTCCATCCGTCTGTAAATGATTGTTGTTATCGCTTTTTCTTGTGAAGTACTGCATGGATCATTTTCAAATTGCATATGGAGGATCCCCTTGGTTCCTATTTGTGCCTGTTTGATTTTGGGTCTGATAAGAAGAAAAAAAATTGTCGACTACCACCTATCTTGGAATTTTTTCATTGATGGTTGATATCGCTTGATTCTTGAAAAGTAATAGATGGATCTCTCCCAAATTTCATGTGTATTATCCCCTTGGTCTCTAGTTGTGCCCATGTAATTTTGGGACTGATCAGAAAAACAAAATGGCTGAAAAGCGGCCATCTTAGATTTTGACTTTGAAAGTTTGTTTTCACTATTTCTTTTTGACCAAACATGCCAAGATGACTTATTGCTATGCTGCTTTATTCATGATGCACATACTCTGTCCAAAAACTTTGCCTTTGAAACATTACTCTTGCTTAATGCATGAGCAGATTTCAACCAAGTTTAGTCTGAAATAACATTGGGGATGGAGGGTTTTTTTTTTTTCCCTAATTCAGACTCGTAGGGACCTGTGAGCAGGGCCCAAAAAAGGGGACATTAGGCAATATTTTGCTGCAAAATGCTACTCCAAAGTTCCAACCAAATTTGGTCTGAAACATTACTCGAGATATGATTTCAAATGTGCTTGAAGAGATCCTGAGATTGTCCTTTCAAATCTGATTTTTTTGGTTTGATGCAAAATCCATCAGAACTCTTTTGTGGTCTGTCAGCATGTACGTCAGTTGTCAGATGACCACAAAAGGCCATTGCCCTCTTGTTTTTTTTTATCCGAAGCTGTTCCTTACAGAAGCATGTTTTCTTATGTGAGCTTGCATCTTTTGTTGTTTAATTGCAATCATATTTTGTACTTTCAGAGAAAAAAGAAGAAAAGAAAGAAGAATCCGAAGAATCGGATGATGACATGGGCTTTGGTCTCTTTGACTAACTTTTTATTTCGCTGTACAGTGCTGTCTTAATAAAAAAGAAAAAGCCCAGTACCTGTTGTATTCTTTATCATACAATTAGTAGACAATGCTTTATCATAATGCAGGGTTTGACACTTAACTTTTCCAAGTAAGGATACTGCAGGATTCCTTGGGTCCAATTTAAGGAAGAACACAATCTTTACATCACAACAACCAAGTATGATGGTGGGTTCCAAATCTTCATATGTCGAGTCCAACCCATTTGCACAATAAGCTTAACACTTTTTTATTGGGTTGTATGGAGTGACATATTGCAATCCCCTTGCGTCAGGCATTGTGTCATAAACTTTTAACATTTTCTTCTTTTGGAAAACTCCTGAACTGATTTTATTGAAATTTTACAAGAGTGCTGTGGACACAATATACGCCACCACAAAATATAAAGATCAAGATAAAATGGCATAAATCTTTCAAAACTCGATAAACTGTAAAATTGTCCGTTCATGCACATCGAACCGTTGTATTAGGGACATTGAGCAAGTTTTGTGAAAATCTGAAGATTATTTTAGGAGGAGTTGCGTTCACAAGGCTCCACTATGAGCAAGCTACAGATACAAAGTTGAAAATGGCATAAATCTTACAAAAATCAATGAACCAAAAAATTGCCCCTTCATGCACATCTACCCATTGTAGTAGTGACATTGAGCAAGTTTCGTGAAAATCTGATGACTAGTTTATGAGGAGTTGCGTTGACAAGAAATGGACAGACAAGACGACGCCAATATACGACTGGCGGTGTATAAAAACCTTCCATGGCTAAAGGCACACGAAAATTGTAGATTATATGGCCCCCGACTTCTACCAAAGGACTTCATCACTAGCCAATGAACAATTACTATGAGGAACAGGTGGATAGGACAGAACAACTTGTTTACAAATTATACCCCATCTGGTGTGATCTGTCAGATTAAATCATTGACTTAAAACTAAATAAGATAACAGCGTATGGAGGAAATTGGTTGTCATATCAAAACACTAATACACAATCACATTTATTTCTTTATTAGTTCACAAATTGACACAAAGTAATGTAACTATTTCTAGGAAATGTACAGTAAACTGGCTCAAAGCTTTGACATTTTTGGAGGAAACCTCTAACAATGTAAAGGCCAATTTCAGAAATTAACACCAAATACAGAAACGTTTTTTATAGTCAATCACAAGCATAAAAAAACCCTGTTCAAATCACCCCTTAAAACACATCTGGTTGTTGCTTTTTCTTGAAACATTCTTAGATCTGTCTCAAATTTCAAATGTAGCTTCCGCCTGGTCTCTAGTCATGTGTTTAATTTTAGGACTAGTTAAAAACAAATGGCAGACAGGTGGCAATATTTTGAGTAAATATTCTGGAGATTCCCAGGTCATATTACCACCTTGAATTTTAATATTCATTGTGAAGACCTGGTTTCTTAGTCAATGGTTCACAAATTGCCCTCGGCTAATCACAGGATCAGGTGATATCAAAGGTTGATGCCCTCGGCTAATCACAGGATCAGGTGATATCAAAGGTTGATGCCCTCGGCTAATCACAGGATCAGGTGATATCAAAGGTTGATGCCCTCGGCTAATCACAGGATCAGGTGATATCAAAGGTTGATGCCCTCGGCTAATCACAGGATCAGGTGATATCAAAGGTTGATGCCCTCGGCTAATCACAGGATCAGGTGATATCAAAGGTTGATGCCCTCGGCTAATCACAGGATCAGGTGATATCAAAGGTTGATGCCCTCGGCTAATCACAGGATCAGGTGATATCAAAGGTTGATGCCCTCGGCTAATCACAGGATGTGATGTGTAAATCTGCTATTGTCACTGTTGGAGAGGTATTCCAGTATAGCCACAGTGATCTGCAATTTTCTTCATCAAATCGGTTTGATAACCATTACATTGAAGTCAAACATTAACCTCATAAGGTTCTGAAAATTGAATTTAAGTTCAAGAACATGTTGCACAATAAAAAGAAATATGTGTGTCACTGGTATCAGAGAACATGATATTTTGTACCATACTAAAGCAAAGTCCCACAAACATTTTACAATCATAGTGTGTGGTCCCCATTTTAAATAACATAACATTGGACTTTTGAATTAAATTTCTAGTAATTCCAAATGTTTTTGATATATGAATTATAAACACAACAGTGAAAATGAAGCTAATTCTTCAAAATTTGAACCTCAAATCTCTAAAATAAAGTGAGGCTGATGTGCCTCTTTATAACCAGACACAACGCAAGGTTGGTCCACTGCCTTATAACCACAGACACCAAGTCAAGTTGGTCCTCAGCCTTATAACCTTAGACACCAAGTGAGGTTGGTCCACAGCCTTATAACCACAGACACCAAGTCAGGTTGGTCCACAGCCTTATAACCACAGACACCAAGTCAGGTTGGTCCACAGCCGTTTAACCACAAGCACTAAGTCAGGTTGGTCCACAGCCTTATAACCACAAACACTAAGTCAGGTTGGTCCACAGCCTTATAACCACAGACACTTAGTCAGGTTGGTCCACAGCCTTATAACCACAGTCACCAAGTGAGGTTGGTTCACAGCCTTATAACCACAGACACCAAGTCAGGTTGGTCCACAGCCTTATAACCACAGACACTTAGTCAGGTTGGTCCACAGCCTTATAAACCACAGACACTTAGTCAGGTTGGTCCACAGCCTTATAACCACAGTCACCAAGTGAGGTTGGTTCACAGCCTTATAACCACAGACACCAAGTGAGGTTGGTTCACAGCCTTATAACCACAGTCACCAAGTGAGGTTGGTCCACAGCCTTATAACCACAAACACCAAGTGAGGTTGGTCCACAGCCTTATAACCACAAACACTAAGTCAGGTTGGTCCACAGCCTTATAACCACAGACACTTAGTCAGGTTGGTCCACAGCCTTATAACCACAGTCACCAAGTGAGGTTGGTCCACAGCCTTATAACCACAGACACCAAGTCAGGTTGGTCCACAGCCTTATAACCACAGACACTTAGTCAGGTTGGTCCACAGCCTTATAACCACAGTCACCAAGTGAGGTTGGTTCACAGCCTTATAACCACAGACACCAAGTCAGGTTGGTCCACAGCCTTATAACCACAGACACTTAGTCAGGTTGGTCCACAGCCTTATAACCACAGTCACCAAGTGAGGTTGGTCCACAGCCTTATAACCACAGACACTTAGTCAGGTTGGTCCACAGCCTTATAACCACAGTCACCAAGTGAGGTTGGTCCACAGCCTTATAACCACAGACACTTAGTCAGGTTGGTCCACAGCCTTATAACCACAGTCACCAAGTGAGGTTGGTCCACAGCCTTATAACCACAGACACTTAGTCAGGTTGGTCCACAGCCTTATAACCACAGTCACCAAGTCAGGTTGGTCCACAGCCTTATAACCACAGTCACCAAGTGAGGTTGGTCCACAGCCTTATAACCACAAACACCAAGTGAGGTTGGTCCACAGCCTTATAACCACAGACACTTAGTCAGGTTGGTCCACAGCCTTATAACCACAAACACTAAGTCAGGTTGGTCCACAGCCTTATAACCACAAACACTAAGTCAGGTTGGTCCACAGCCTTATAACCACAGACACTTAGTCAGGTTGGTCCACAGCCTTATAACCACAGTCACCAAGTGAGGTTGGTTCACAGCCTTATAACCACAGACACCAAGTGAGGTTGGTCCACAGCCTTATAACCATATACACAGAAATGTGTCTTTATATTACGCAACACTATTTAAAACTTAAAAACATGAATTACAGTAAAGCTGTACAGTTGCCTTGTCGATGAAGTCTAAACTCACTATTTACTATAGATATGTAAAGACAGCAGAAGTTCATTCTACATCATAGCCATTCATTTAAAAATACAGTTATGATATTTAGAAAACAACTTGGCTTTTCAAAACTGTTTACAAGGTTTAACTGACACTACAACATAATGGTAATGCAAAACTACCATGTATGCATCCTTAATACTCCAGGAGTTACTATCACTTTCACTCTCTTTACCCCTGGAACATCCTGAATACTCCAGGGCTAACCATCACTTTCATTCTCTGTACCCTGGCTCTGTACGCCTTGAACCATCCTTGATACTCCAGGGGTTACCATCACTTTCACTCTCTGTACCCCTGGAACCATCCTTGATACTCCAGGACTTATTCACAAAGAATTTGGTTTACTTCTACAACTTGAGTAAATAAAGGAAGCTTTAAAGCTGATAAAAACATATTTATCAGAATTTCCGTAGTTCCTTACAAAATGTTGAGAAAATTTTGCTCACCTCATACATGTCATAAAAACACAAATGAGAAATATCAAATTAGAAGTCTCTGTCATATTTTTGGGTGGGATTTCTAACTTTATATAAATAAAGAATGAGCAGTGCACTTCAAAATCTTATTTTACTTTTTTAATGGAAAATGTGTAAAATTTGATGAAAGTGGAAGACAGAAATGAAACATTCACAACTCGTCCCTCTGAAGTAACTGGAAAGAAGTTAAAATATTTAGTCGTTCATTTAATTGTTCTTTCTTTTTATCACTAACTTTTCCATCTTTCAGTTTTTCTACCCTTGTAATTTCTGAATCAACAAATTCTGTTCCTTTTTCAACTATTTTTTTCATAGTTTTAACATAAATGTCAGCAGATCTTTTCTTTGATTCGTCACTTTCTTTTGAAGCTTCTTCCTCTGCAGTAGCTAAAATGTCTTGACGTTTATCTCCACTCGCCTTCAAAAATTCTTTCACTCTTTTATCATAATCTTCTAGGCATGAAGGTAAGCCAAGCCAAAGACCTAAAATTAGAAAATATTTAAATATAATAAATGGGTGCAAGTAATCAAATCCTTGATTGTAAGTATAGTTCCATTTATAGCAAATTTTGGCCAATTATTTAAGTGTAAGTATTATTCATTATAAAGAATGTGTTGCATAAATAAACAAGGCATCGTAAACAGCGAAAATTCCCTCGTAATTCGAGTCATCATTTCATTCAAATAATCTAAGGAATGAAGCTGCTATAGTACCGACAAAGATTTCTAAAAATAGTAAAAGAGACCTTGACCCTAGAACCCTGAAGATAGAACTTGTTTGATATATAATAATAATCTTTTGTAAGTTTGTGAAAACTGATCACAATTCTTCAAGGAATGCAACTGCTAGAGCGCTGACAATGGCTTTCTAAAAATGGTAATAGTGACCTTGACTTTGACCTTGCAACCCTGACACTCTGACACAACAGTCCTTTATAATAAGTATGGATGTTTGATCTAAATCCCCAGCAAATGCTTTCGCTAGATTTTACCTGATTCCCTCATAAGGAATTTTTTTATGTCGTCAGCATTTTTCACATTGCCGAGGAATTTTTTCGGGTTTTCTGCATCTCCAGACATGAACAAAAAATAGACAGGAAAGTCATCTTTTGTCACACTGAACCTTTCTGCCAAATCTGCATTCTCTTTATCACCATAATCTGCAAAATGAAACATCTGATAAACAAGGTTTACTACAATAAGGAATCACATCACTATACTTTTTCCAGTGTGATAACACATCACATTACAAGCTGTTATCAGTGTGATAACATATACATTACAAGCTGTTATCAGTGTGATAACACATCACATTACAAGCTGTTATCAGGGTGATAACATATAACAAGCTGTTATCAGTGTGATAACACATCACATGACTAGTTGTTATCAGTGTGATAACACATCACATGACTAGTTGTTATCAGTGTGATAACACATCACATTACAAGCTGTTATCAGTGTGATAACACATCACATTACAAGGGGGGTCAATATAAATTACTGTAGGGAGGGGTTAGAGATGAATTAATGTAGGGAGGGGATAGAGATAAATTTCTGAAGGGAGGGAGGTCGAGATAAATTACTGTAGGGAGGGGGGGTCAAGATAAATTACTGTAGGGAGGGGGGTCGAGATAAATTACTGAAGGGAGGGGGGTCAAGATAAATTTCTGAAGGGAGGGAGGTCGAGATAAATTACTGTAGGGAGGGGGGTCAAGATAAATTACTGTAGGGAGGGGGGTCAAGATAAATTACTGTAGGGAGGTGGTAGAGATAAATTACTGTAGGGAGGTGGTAGAGATAAATTAATGTAGGGAGGGGGGTCGAGATAAATTACTGTAGGGAGGGGGGGTTGAGATAAATTACTGTAGGGAGGGGGTAGAGATAAATTACTGTAGGGAGGGGGGGGGTCAAGATTAAGTACTGTAGGGAGGTGGTAGAGATAAATTAATGTAGGGAGGGGGGGTCGAGATAAATTACAGAAGGGTGGGGGGGTCGAGATAAATTACTGTAGGGAGGGGGTAGAGATAAATTACTGTAGGGAGGGAGGTCGAGATAAATTACTGTAGGGAGGGGGGTCGAGATAAATTACTGTAGGGAGGGGGTAGAGATAAATTACTGTAGGGAGGGGGGGTCAAGATTAAGTACTGTAGGGAGGTGGTAGAGATAAATTAATGTAGGGAGGGGGGTCGAGATAAATTACAGAAGGGTGGGTTGGGGGGGGGGGGGGGTCGGGATAAATTACTGTAGGGAGGGGGTAGAGATAAATTACTGTAGGGAGGGGGGGGGGTCGAGATAAATTACTGTAGGGAGGGGGTAGAGATAAATTACTGTAGGGAGGGGGGGGGTCGAGATAAATTACTGTAGGGAGGGGGGGGGGGGGGTCGAGATAAATTACTGTAGGGAGGGGGTAGAGATAAATTACTGTAGGGAGGGGGATCGAGATAAATTACTGTAGGGAGGGGGGTCAAGATAAAGTACTGTAGGGAGGGGGTTGAGATAAATTATTGAAGAGGGGGGTCGAGAAAAATTACTGTAGGGAGGGGATCAATCCTGATGATTTTAGAAAATGTATCATTTCATCAAATTTCTATTTGTGCTAAACAAAATGAGGATTAATACTGATGGAGGACACCTCTCACCATCAGTCTACTAACACATCAAGTGAAATCTTTGGACATAACTGTTTTTCAGTTTTTATTTTGGATCTCCAGGCCTGTATCAGCAATGTTTGAACCTTTTGGATAGTATTATAATTTGAATTATGTATGACGTAATATACCTTGGACTTGAACTTCTGGTAACAGAATTTGATAATTACCTTGGACTTGAACTTCTGACACCAGAATTTGACAATGACCTTAGACTTGAACTTCTGACACCAGAATTTGACAATGACCTTGGACTTGAACTTCTGACACCAGAATTTGACAATGACCTTGGACTTGAACTTCTGACACCAGAATTTGACAATGACCTTGGACTTGAACTTCTGACACCAGAATTTGACAATGACCTTGGACTTGAACTTCTGGCACCAGAATTTGGACTTGAACTTCTGGCACCAGAATTTGACAATTACCTTGGACTTGAACTTCTGACACCAGAATGTCATCTTGTGACAATGTTGCAGCAGCCACCTCCTTGAAGGCATCCTGTTTCTCACCGTACGGATAAGTCTCATCAAACTTTACCAAAACTGCTTTGTGTTTCCTCAGGATCTGCAAAAGTCATTTACTTTATTAAAGAGATACTCTACACAAGTTTGGATTTCATATGGCATTCCGATTAGTGGAGTTTGAGTATTGTTTGCTTGAGGTATTTCAGCAATCTTTGGTGTCATTTGTTACATCCGGGACAGCCATTTTTGAAAATTTAAAGCAAGGTCAGGGGTCTGGAAAAAATTTTTAAACCACTAGGCACAGGACTAGTGGGCTGAAAAATTTACTCATCCAAATTCAGCTATGAAATGGCGACTTAATCGCGATGATGTGACATGTGACTTTTTTTCATTTGAAGTTTTAGTGAAAAAAGCTATGTAGTGATGGCTGCTTTGCGTCAGACATTGTGCACGACTTAGTCTTAGGCCTAGTCGTAGTATTTCTTTACATCTGACTGACTAGATGCTGTTAAGAACAAGAGCACCTGACATCAGTTTGACAGCGGGAAAATGACTAAGGTATTCTGAATGCTATATTTGACGTCATGGGAGTCCTGGTGTAATCAAAAGTTAAGAGTGAGACTGGAATATTTCATTTTCCATACTGTAAACATGTTTCTTTGTTTTAAATTTTCTTTACATTTTTATTGAAATTTAAGTTGTAACATTAATATCATTCGAAAAGAGTACTCGTCCGACGGACGACTGACAAAGATAAATCTGGTTGTCCGAGACAACTTTCACTTGTCTATGATGACCGGAAGAGTGCTTTTCCGGACCCCTGAAGGTGAAACACCATGATGTAGTAGATTTCACATGAAATGATGTTGCATCCTGACCAATAAAGGAGAAGATAGTTCTGCTATGAATGATGGAGAAAATACAGCTGTGTATGAAGAGTTCCTGGACGTAAGAGGACACCAAATGCTGTTCATTTGAGAATTTATTTCTTTTTCAAGTACATTTTATTGCTAAAATTCATGAAAAATTTTTTTTTTTTTCGATAATACATTGCCATGAATATTTGTCAGTTAGGTTTTAGGCCATCAAATAAGTTTTATTTACAAAAATAATTAACAGACATAACAGGACACCAATTTTGAAATTTGGCACTAATAGATGAAGATGTTTGTTTTCTATATTGCAACTGAATAACTAATATCTATTAAGATTTTCAAAATAATATTTAAAGATATTTTTATATCTCTTGACAAGGATTTTATTCACCAATTGCAATTATGGTGTCCTGCATTACATTCAGTTCAGAATCCAAGTCCATGTTTCATCCCAGACATATTTAAAAAAAAAAAAAAAAAAAGAAGATACACCTGTCATACCAAGTTGCTTTACATAGATTTAATGTCTATGCACATTCCATCATCAAAGTAGTAAACCTATTGCAGAATGGAAATACGTAACGAAGACACTAAATTATGTTTGGTGAACCTGTGCGTCCAAGGAACAACTACCTATATGATATGCCACATGCTTCTTATCCACCATTTGTTAAATATAAAATGGCCTTTCTTGTGTATCATTTCAAACAACATTTTCAATGGATTGCCAACATATACATCTGATATCATGGAAGTAACATTGGACTTGCATCATCATCTCTCCATTATATAGGTCTTCCTTTGTTAAACAGCCTAAAACATATATACCAATGTACTTGCAGTAAGAGATAAAATTGCTGTAGTTTCAATGTCCGGGACGTAACATTATAACATGATTTACACAAGCTCTAAATGATTCAATTTCTTTCAAACATGTTCAGAGGTTTTTCACTACATTCGCTATTATCAGGATAACAACCTGTGAGGATAAACACACTCAAAAGGTGGAAACAATACACAAGTTAACGGCATTCTAGGTATATCGTTTGATGTAACTTTTCTGGCATGAAATGTTACCTCCAGGTGCTAATGCTTTTAAAATGTTATCAATGTAAATAAATGTACATTTGTGAAAAGCCGCAGGTTTTTTTGTCAGCGGTCAGATGTGTAGCTTATATACTGGTGCTGCTTATATGTGGATGATAAAAAATTGGCAGAATGAAAAAAAAAAAAATACAAGAGGCCTAGTGGCCTTGACAGTCACCTGAGATAAACAATATTGAATATAAAGATTAAAGGGTAGTTATCAAGTGTCATGAAACAGAAATTGTAACACTGAGTATATACAGTGTCAATACATGGATATCATTAACTGTCATCCTATACCGATTATTCTTATAAAGTTAATTCCAGTGGGAAATAAACGATGTTATGCTAAAAATACAATTTTTCTATGAAAATTACAGTAAAGTCTAAAAATAATATTCCTCCACAGGGAGAAATGTGAGACTCCTTTTGATAATAAGCACCTTAAGATGCTTCCATCCATGAAGAGTATTTGATTTTACCATACCTGGGTGTTGAGAAGATTTTTAAAATTTAAGGCAATTTGACCAATTTTGGCTCCACCCTTAACTTATAATTCTAATCAAGTTTGAAATATTTCCAATGGAAATTAAACAAATTATGCTCAAAAATCTAGTTTTTCTATATAAAGTATAATAAGCTTTACCTCCTCCCCACGGGGATATGCGAGACCCTGGGGCCATCAAACTGAATTTTTGCAAAGCACCTTAAGATGCTTGCATTCACGAGAGTATTTGATTCTAACATGTCTGGGTCTTGAGAAGAAGATTTTTGAAATATGGGTCAATCTGACCCCTTTTGGCCTAGCCCCTCAGGCCCCTGGGTGTGGGGACTGTATAATTCACAAATTTGGTTCATCTTAGGCCAGGGAAGGTTTCTGCAAAAATTTCACTGAAATTGGATCAAGGGTTTTTGAGACGAAGCTGAAAGTGTTAAATTGTTTGCGGACACATGACGCACAATGCCAGATGAAAGGTGTAAGAAAATGAAGTGTATTGTCTGCATATCAGTTTTGGCCTGTTATGTATTTTAGAATGGTCATTTTGTTGAGGCGTATCACATGTACTATTGACCTGTATGACCATGCACCCTGATACTTTTGGTTACTGTAACATGTCATGCTTCCAGAAAGAATGAAAAATAGTGACCTAAACCAAGGATACCAGTACGAGACATCAGTGCCAAGATTTTTTTTTACAAATATCTGTCCATCACATGTTTGTGACTGAACAGATTGTCTAGAACTGTCATTTGCAACCATACACAGGATAATTTAAAGATTGAAATAAAAAATACCATTCTCAAGAATTTAATTAACCATACCTTTTAATGCAAGGGCCTTTGTTAAAATTTCACAGTAGAGACACTGATGGAGATATTGTTAATTAAACTGCTCATAATGTCAGGCCCTATAACTGTGCATAGACAATCCTTGAAGACTCCCAAGTCAAACAGGTTTGATAATTGCTATTTTATGTTTTTCAAACACATCAATAAAATAAAGAACTATCTGTGTATAATTCATTTACAAACTTATGTTAAATGTCTCACTGACGGGTGTGGTTTATTGCCTGGAAAATATGGTAAATATATTTTTCATTATTAATCTTTCCAATCTTAATCCATTCACCTTTGCCTCATAACATTGAACAAAATGGATATGTTAACATTTCTTTTTGCTTATGAGGCCAGGCCCACCATTCATATAAAACTATTTCCTTTTCTGCCAAGGATACGTCACACCAAGTTTGGTTAAAATGTGCTTAGTCATTCATGACTTGTAGCAGTTTAAAGGAAAAGTTGATAGACGCCAATCACTGCTGTTTCCCAACAGCTCACTACACCACAGCTCACAGCTCACTAGGCCCTTTGAGCTTGGTGAGTTAATAAATTAATTGTAATCAATTTTGAATGATCATTGATTTGACAGACAAAACTGATGATCAATCAGAAATTTTCAACTGATTCTTATGCTAGTTTGAACTAATGTAAGGGAGGTAGATATTATTTCTATTTTTCACCTAGAAATTAAGGCAACACAAAATTATCAAAGAATTCCTTGTATTAACTTGTATTTTAAACATACTATAAATCTTACCTGTTTTTTTGAGTCTCTGGTGTTTTTGGTGTTTTATGAAAAAAAAAAAACTTCTGATATCATTATCATGTGATCTACTCAGGATAGAACAGATGTTAAGAGTCCCTATAGGACAACTTATTAATGTAGTGATATTGTGTAGTACAGGGGTATTTTTTCCACACCTGTGACAATTCCTATCATTACATCTGTCACATCTCTTGATACTCTGCAGAATGGACAGATTTATCACCTATCCAATATATTACTCAGAAAATGAAAGGCTTAAACACCTGTGTCAATAGTTCAAATGCATCCTCTCAAATACAAGAATGTTCCAAATCTGTTGAAGGCATCAAAATTGTTCATAACACTGCACATAAATATTAGCGATGTGAAGATAGGTAAACTTATCTATGTATTGTGATAACTTTGCTTGCTCTTGATAGCAATAGGTCGAAGGCATATTTTTTTGCAATACATGTGTAAACACCTTGAATGAAGCCATGAATCAGACAGCTCAAAATTATGCATCAAAATTACACATGCTTGTAGTTAGCAATGTCTATTTCGTATCAGTCACTACAAGGATGTTTATTATAAAGGGATGAGAAACTTTGCATTTGTGTTTGTTCACTGAGCTGTGAAGTCCCCTTTTCTTATTGTTCTTACCCAATTTGATCTTAACCCATGTCCCTAACACATCTATGCTGTAGTTGGTGTAGACTTGCATGTAAATGTAGCTGTGACCAGTCTTGACAATTTTGTCGACCAGTGAGAATGGAACCTCATTTTTGTGACAAAAAATCTAAAGTGATGTATAAGAAAACTTCCAACACCAGTCTGAAAATTTAGCCAACCTTTTCATGAGCTATTTAAAGATGATTTTTAATATATTTTGGGTTGGGCAGAAAGTGGTTTGCAATATAGGTCGAGTTTTCATTTGTTAATACCTTAAACATGCATTTAGTTTTACAAGTATCAAACGTTATCAGAAATTATTCGTCAACAAAGTTAGCACAATCAATTTGAAACTATCAACTGTTCATGTTGAAATGATTATGTACTTTCGGATTAAAATTGTATATAACAAAGACAGCAACGCTAATTAACTTGAATTTCTTCGCTAAATCGTTAAGAAGAGATGTAGGCAATTTCTTATCCATCTGTACTATGCTTTCCTGGACCAGAGACATATGTAACACATATATACGCCTCTGTCTGGACACTGTTAGTTTACCAAAATATGCCCGAATAGAGAAAACAGTGCTGTTGCGTCTAACAAAAGAGATGTAGATGGGGTAGTTTTGAAATAATCCGCCATTCACAAATATATAAAAAAAATCTAAGCTCAGTCAATTCTTTTTTGCAACCATATTGTCCCGCATTTAAACATTGACAAAACAACACTAGCTTATTACAGATTTGAAAACAAAACGGACAAAAATAAAGCATTGTCAGCTTGCTTTTAAAAAAATCGACTTACTTTCTCGAAGACGCCCGAATTAAGTTGAACTGATCCTTTAACGCCATCAGCGACAACTGTTTGAAATAACACAACTACAACTGCAAGACCGACAAGATACATGCTTTTCGTCGCCATCATTGTCTCAATGATGAGGTGGCCCAATCAAAAACCATGTTATATACACCGGGAAATAAATTACAAACGTGCCACGATTGTTTTATCTCGATATTTGATTGGTTAAATTGAAACCATTCGGTTCTCTCGGCGTTTGACCATTCAAAGTCACAATTGTTTACATGCATGCTGTTGCTTGTGCGGTAACGCAATGTCTTACATCTGTCGGCGAGAAACTACACGCTGATTATTGATTCGTGTGGTATAGGTAAAGACGTCTTCATAACGATACTAATCCAACACATATGGAAGCCTTTGATGTTAGTAACGACACAGTTATAAGGCAGATGATAATTCACATCCCCTCACCCTATAGTTTTCCCTCCTTCAGCATCACTAATGACGTGCTGTGCGTTTGATTTTTTAATGCTATATGATTATAAGTGTGTATATTTGCTGCTTATTCCATTTTGTAATAACTGTCTCCATTATTAGGGGAAAGAAGAAAGATGTCTTCAGGGTTGGTTGTTACCTATCCGATGACACAGTGTGTTTTCGTTTAACATCCAGATCAACATTTGTGACTTAACTGGGTCCAGTGCAATTCATCTGCTGATCTCAATCAACACATGTACAGTATACACATATGTAGTTGTAAGACAAATATTACCTGTATCAACCTGTGAAATTGCTGTACTGAGTTCTAAATCTTGATTTTGTAAAAAGATTTTATATAAAGAAAAAGACAGTTGCATTTGAAAGGATATTTTTTTCTTGAAGTTGACCACATCAGACACTAGGAAAATATCCTTTTTTGAAAACGTTGATGGGAAAAAAACGAAAACTTTACATTCATGAGAAATGAAAACAAAAATAACTCATTGTTTGCTTTCTCTCAACAACAATTTCACGACTATGTGATTTTGTTGGATATTTTTACAAATCTATAAAAAAAAATCAAAATATATATAAATATATCTTTAGAGTTTAGTAAGTAATATTGTATCAATATTTGCACTGGATCCTAACTAACAAATGTTTGTTGGATGCTTAATGTCAGAATAGGTATGTATACATGATCAATAAAAAGAGTAATAAAGGCTATGGCTGTTGTACAATCAAATAAAATGAAAATAATTGAATTTGCTGAGCTATTTTTATATTCTAGGATTTTATGCTTTATAAGGAATGAACAATCCCAACACATGCCATTTATATATACATACATATTATTTTACTTTATTTATGCTTTTATTTTTGAGCATATAAAATTTCCCCATGAAAATGTTACAAAGTTGGCAAGTAAGACTGAGAAAATTACAGAACTATTAAGAGTTCAATTTTTTAATTTATTACAGAACGAGGACTTCATCTTTATTAGACTTAATGCAGCTGATTATCACATACTGACGACTGGCAATTATTTATACCATAAGTCTTAATTGAACAATATCAGAGTTAAGTTTATGCAACTTGCATTTTAATGACATAAAAAGTCAGAACATTCATTCAGTTATTTCCTGTGCATGAAATTCATCTAACCAAAATTAAAATAAGTTAGTGCAACATACAACTGAGTGAATTATAAAATCCATTTTAGCTCTTCCTTGTCGTATTTCAAATTACAGGCAGTAGACATATGTAGGATGATATGATCGTTCAAGTTTGGATACAATATGAAAAACCAAATTTACACTATTGACTATATTTGATGGTTTATATTTTTGTTTGTTTGAATTGGTCTTGTAAGAAAATCAGATGAAATAGCATATTCTAAGAAGCTAAACATAAACTAATGAAATAATGAATATAACTACTGAGATTAATTAATAGTTTTTGCTACGTTTGGAAGATAGCAAAAGTCTGAAATTTAAATTTTACTCCATATTGGTTGTAATTTTAAGTGTTTTGACATCATCAGTTTGTACCTTCGCTATACTGAGCCCAATATAGTAGAAAAATATCTTGTTTCTAATCAGTAGAATTTATTTTCCTTTCAGCTCACCTCTTTGAAGACTTAATGCCTTGTACTTACACATCGTCAGCCACAGACGTTCCATCATGACAGAGCACTCTGTGTGCCTGTGGGTGAAGGCTGAGCCTTTCAGCTATGGAGCCTTTCCCATAGCACCTCACCCAAGACTGACATTTAGTGTAAGTGATGCAGAATACCTCACCTAAGACTCACATTTAGTGTAACTGATGCAGAATACCTCACCCAAGACTCACATTTAGTGTAAGTGATGCAGAATACCTCACCTAAGACTCACATTTAGTGTAAGTGATGCAGAATACCTCACCTAAGACTCACATTTAGTGTAAGTTACCCACAGGACCTCACCTTCAGACTCGTATTTACCAACAACACCTCACCAAGACTTAAATTTATTGTAAGTTACCCTGAGTACCTCACCTTAGACTCACATTAAGTGTTAGGGTCCAACAGCCAAATGAAGTACTAGTTACCAACAGTACCTCTTCCCCTAACTCATATTTTGTGTAAATTACTGACAGCACCTTACCTCCAGACTCACATTTGGTGTAAATTGCCCACAGCACCTTACCTCCAGACTTACATTTAGTGTAAATTACTGACAGCTCCTTACCTCCAGACTCACATTTAGTGTAAATTACTGACAGCTCCTTACCTCCAGACTCACATTTAGTGTAAATTGCCCACAGCACCTTACCTCCACACTCACATTTGGTGTAAATTACTGACAGCACCTTACCTCCACACTCACATTTGGTGTAAATTACTGACAGCACCTTACCTCCACACTCACATTTAGTGTAAATTACTGACAGCACCTTACCTCCACACTCACATTTAGTGTAAATTGCCCACAGCACCCCACCTCCACACTCACATTTAGTGTAAATTACTGACAGCACCTTACCTCCAGACTCACATTTAGTGTAAATTACTGACAGCACCTTACCTCCAGACTCACATTTACTGTAGATTGCCCACAGCACCTTACCGCCATACTCACATTTAGTGTAAATTACTGACAGCACCTTACCTCCAGACTCACATTTAGTGTAAATTACTGACAGCACCTTACCTCCAGACTCACATTTGGTGTAAATTACTGACAGCACCTTACCTCCACACTCACATTTAGTGTAGATTGCCCACAGCACCTTACCGCCATACTCACATTTAGTGTAAATTACTGACAGCACCTTACCTCCAGACTCACATTTAGTGTAAATTACTGACAGCACCTTACCTCCAGACTCACACTTAGTGTGAATTACTGACAGCACCCCACCTCCAGACTCACATTTAGTGTAAATTACTGACAGCTCCTTACCTCCACACTCACATTTGGTGTAAATTGCCCACAGCACCTTACCTCCAGACTCACAGTTAGTGTGAATTACTGACAGCACCCCACCTCCACACTCACATTTGGTGTAAATTACTGACAGCACCTTACCTCCAGACTCATATTTAGTGTAAATTACTGACAGCACCTTACCTCCACACTCACATTTAGTGTAAATTGCCCATAGCACCTTACCTCCAGACTCACATTTAGTGTTAATTGTCCACAGCACCTTACCTCCAGACTCACATTTAGTGTAAATTGCCCACAGCACCTTACCTCCAGACTCACATTTAGTGTAAATTGCCCACAGCACCTTACCTCCAGACTCACATTTAGTGTAAATTACTGACAGCACCTTACCTCCAGACTCACATTTAGTGTAAATTACTGACAGCACCTTACCTCCACACTCACATTTAGTGTAAATTGCCCACAGCACCTTACCTCCACACTCACACTTAGTGTAAATTACTGACAGCACCTTACCTCCAGACTCACATTTAGTGTAAATTACTGACAGCACCCCACCTCCACACTCACACTTAGTGTAAATTACTGACAGCACCTTACCTCCACACTCACATTTAGTGTAAATTGCCCACAGCACCTTACCGCCAGACTCACATTTAGTGTAAATTGCCCACAGCACCTTACCTCCAGACTCACGTTTAGTGTAAATTGCCCACAGCACCTTACCGCCACACTCACATTTAGTGTAAATTGCCCACAGCACCTTACCGCCACACTCACATTTAGTGTAAATTGCCCACAGCACCTTACCTCCAGACTCACATTTGGTGTAAATTACTGACAGCACCTTACCTCCACACTCACATTTAGTGTAAATTGCCCACAGCACCTTACCTCCACACTCACACTTAGTGTAAATTACTGACAGCTCCTTACCTTCAGACTCACATTTAATGTAAATTGCCCACAGCACCTTACCTCCAGACTCACATTTAGTATAAATTGCCCACAGCACCTTACCTCCAGACTCACATTTAGTGTAAATTACTGACAGCACCTTACCTTCAGACTCACATTTAGTGTAAATTACTGACAGCACCTTACCTCCAGACTCACATTTGGTGTAAATTACTGACAGCACCTTACCTCCACACTCACATTTAGTGTAAATTGCCCACAGCACCTTACCTCCAGACTCACATTTGGTGTAAATTACTGACAGCACCTTACCTCCACACTCACATTTGGTGTAAATTACTGACAGCACCTTACCTCCAGACTCACATTTAGTGTAAATTACTGACAGCACCTTACCTCCACACTCACATTTAGTGTAAATTGCCCACAGCACCTTACCTCCAGACTCACATTTGGTGTAAATTACTGACAGCACCTTACCTCCACACTCACATTTGGTGTAAATTACTGACAGCACCTTACCTCCACACTCACATTTAGCGTAAATTGCCCACAGCACCTTATCTCCAGACTCACATTTAGTGTTAATTGTCCACAGCACCTTACCTCCAGACTCACATTTAGTGTAAATTACTGACAGCACCTTACCTTCAGACTCACATTTAGTGTAAATTACTGACAGCACCTTACCTTCAGACTCACATTTAGTGTAAATTGCCCACAGCATCTCATCTTTGTCTGACATTTAGTGTAAGCTATCCACTTTACCTCATCTAAAACTCACATTTAACATAAATTGCCTACAACACCTCTCCCTAGACTGATATTAGTGTAAGTTTTTCAGCTCCTGAAAGGTTCTTGAAAAAAATCCTTCTAATCATTGTTAGATGATTATGATATCTGGTTAAAGTCATTGATAGTTAATTACGGTACACATTTAAAGTCAGAAGATTTGTGTTGACAATACTTAATAACTTTCCTTGTTAAGCTTACATTGTAACAGGGCAAACAACTAATTTTTTTGCTTTACTTTGTAGAACATCAAGAAAATTGTAATCTATGCCAAGAATAAGGGAAGCCTCGGATTTCCGAGGATTAAGTAAGTAGTCAAACAATGATACATTTATAGATATATAACAACCACCAGCTCCAACAAACTGTTTTCACCCTTTAAAGGCTCATTCAGGTTTATTAGTGAAAATACAACATGACATCATAGTTGATGTGACATCAAACACTGGGACTTGGCACCAATTCCCACGGTCCATGTATTATGGTGACAAGGGTTGTAATGCCCAAGAAATGAAAACTGAACATATTTTTTAAGTTACTTCCTTTAAAATCCTAAGGCTGGGAGATCTTAGTAACACAGACATTGTTTTTAATAGAAATGTTTTATCTTTCCATTGAGTGTTTCATGAACGAGATTGACAAAGTATTGACCAAGTTGACAAATTCGGAAACATATGTAGAAATTGCTAGGTAGATATATCTGTATATCTGGTTGAAGTGTTTTCTTGTCTCAAATGGGTACTTCAATAATTGCTCCGAATTTACAAAATCTATGCTTTTGGCAGTATACAGTACCCATGACCTTGTCCTGACATAATGTCCTCAGATGTCATGACTCCTACATTGTAGAAACTCCATATGCACATCAAGGTACTCACTTTCTTTGACAACAAATTCATCAATTTCTTTATGTCACTGATATTTGGTGAACACCATACCCAGTCTTGGCCCCAAAACCCTGTCCAGGTTTATCATAAATAATAACTCGAGAACAAAAAATCATATAAATGGGACTTATGACCTACGTCCCCAATTCTGAATAACAAACTCATGTGACCTTTGGTGAAGATTGGCGCAGGTGGGGAGGGGTCGGAGGGGGAGGTTGGAGGCTCCCTTTCCATTGGTGGTTTGTGTTTCTAAGGAAACTGATAAACAAACCAGGTGGTGAAATAATCTTGACCTATATTAAAGGTCACAGGGGACAGACAGACAGATTTGAGAGAAAAGGGTGGGTTTCAGACAGACAGAGAGTGAGGTTTGTGAAGAGGGAGGGATTTCTATGTGGATTCTCTTGCAATCATTTGGGTCAATTATCTCAGCTAATTTTTTCAGTGATAAAATATTGGCATCAAAATGGATTCTACATATCAAATGATGCTGTGAGTTTTAATAAACATTATTGGTTTGTGTCATGCAGTATTGAGTCTATTCTACACTGAAATTTTCAACAGCTGATGTAAAATTTAGCCAGTCACAGTACTGTTACTGAGTTGCAGTTTATTTCACAAAGAACAATTACATTTATCATATCATTTCTCTTAAGAAATTTTTCATTATCAAGATTTAATAGTGAAAACATCATTCCCAGAAAAATAACTGAAAATATGGCCATTTGTCACTTGTCTGTGATTCATTTGTAACGTATAGACTCATGATCAGAAATTGGGATTAGCATTTTAATCAGATCTTTATTGTGTCATTGTTTTAGCTATTCAGTATGGCGTCATATAGCCTGTAACAAGCTTCACCTCTCAGAAGACCTAGCCTGGATGTAAGTTGGAAAAACATACGTACATGTACTTGTGTAGGTAGGTTTTGTTTTTTCATTAGTTGACCTGGTCTAAAGGATTGGTGAGTATATACCATAGCCAGTCGTACATCATGTCTAGTTTATATATCTTGTTTGTCTTTTGTCCATAAAGCTTTTCCTTTCAATTGTTATTAATCATTAACAACAGTGTGAATTTTGTTCAAATTTGGCCTGGAGCATCCTTAGGGAAAGAAGAAACATTTGTAAAACAAATGCTGGAAATGGGCTTCCTGGGGCCTTTGTGGCAAAATGTCCTTTGTCGTCCTCTGTTGGGATGATGGGTTTTTAACCAAATTTTATCTGGTGAAAACTTAAATAACTCCGTTTTGTGTTGTGTTACATCAGTTTCCATTCATGTCTGAGATGGATCGGCTGTCATATTAGGAAGAATGTTTTACTCACTGATATATACTGTATCTTGTTTGCCACAGTTATATGGAGCTAGTATTTTTCAGTAGAACTAGTTCATGGTGATAAGCTTTCTAAGTAAAAAAAATACTAGTTATAATATATAAATGTAGATATACATTCTAGCTGAATTTCCAGTTGTCTTGTTTATTATTAATTATTAAGAATATAATAACAAGAATTTCCTCACAGATGTAAGGGTATCTGTATACAGTTGTGATTTGTTAACAATCTGTTGTATTATGTACTCTGTTAACAATTTTATCTCTTTTCATCAGAACAATACAGACATATCTCAGGATGTTGTTTTTTACCTGTTACATGTTCTATAGCAGTATTTAAATTTGGCAGGTATTTCTCAACTTGCCACATGTTCTCTGAGGACTTGTCTACCATGGAGAGAATTGAACGTGACCAGGAGATGGCTGCTTGCTCCAGCCAATCAGATAGAGGTATTCCTTAGTCATGTAGTAGTGTTGTATAGTCATTGCAATCCTTCAGTTCAGTTACATTTTTTTATCACATGAATACCAATAAAATGAAACATTGTTCTTGTGGCTTTAGACAAAACACGAAAATAAAATGCTACAAATAAAACTCAAGATAAAAAAATTATGAGTTATACAGTATCCTATGAAAATTTTACTCTCAAAATGATGTATGAGGTTTTACCCACAAACATTTCATGTAATACAGTACTCGCTTCAGTATCACGTCTAGGTAAAAAAATTTAAATATATAGATAAACGATTTGTAATCTTGGTATTTTAGACAATAGTATCAGTGAAGCTGATGAATGCTCCCTGAAACCTCTTATAGATTTTGTTTTATGCTCCTGACAATATTTGAGCATGAAAAATAATGAAGGGCAATAACTCCTAAATTATGTAAAACAGAGTTATGCTTATTGTATACTCTACTTCTCCTTATCGAGATCTATCTACCTATGAAGTTTCATTTTGATACCTCTTACAGTGTTTGTGATATGTTTCGGACTAAATACGACGGACGAACAAACCGACGGACAAAGCAATGACTGTATGCTCTCCCTTCCTGGAGCATAAAAAACTATGTGGGGATTTTCACTTAAAGGCTTGTTATCTGTGGGTAAATACATAGAATGCCAACTTTCTGTGCAGTTATAAATTTTTAATTGAGTTTGATGACTTTAGGGCAAGTGTGATGTCAATATTTGGGATGACCTTTAACCTATACATGAATAAGTGTGTTAATTGATGAGTTTCTTACTGTATTTCACAGACAGACTGCGGTCATCAGTGAACGTATCCACACTGAAATTTGTTTTGTACCTGTACATACAACAGATCTACAAAGTTTCACTCAAGGCCTCCCTTGTGTCAGGAGAGGAGTATCCTTCATATAGTACCTGTGTATTCTGTCCTTCAGTGTATTATAGAGCCTGTGTATTCTGTCTTTAAGTGTATTATAGAGCCTGTGTATTCTGTCTTTAAGTGTATTATAGAGCCTGTGTATTCTGTCCTTCAGTGTATTATAGAGCCTGTGTATTCTGTCCTTCAGTGTATTATAGAGGCTGTGTATTCTGTCCTTCAGTGTATTATAGAGCCTGTGTATTCTGTCCTTCAGTGTATTATAGAGCCTGTGTATTCTGTCTTTAAGTGTATTATAGAGGCTGTGTATTCTGTCCTTCAGTGTATTATAGAGCCTGTGTATTCTGTCTTTAAGTGTATTATAGAGCCTGTGTATTCTGTCTTTAAGTGTATTATAGAGCCTGTGTATTCTGTCCTTCAGTGTATTATAGAGCCTGTGTATTCTGTCTTTAAGTGTATTATAGAGCCTGTGTATTCTGTCCTTCAGTGTATTATAGAGCCTGTGTATTCTGTCTTTAAGTGTATTACAGAGCCTGTGTATTCTGTCTTTAAGTGTATTATAGAGCCTGTGTATTCTGTCTTTAAGTGTATTATAGAGCCTGTGTATTCTGTCTTTAAGTGTATTATAGAGCCTGTGTATTCTGTCCTTCAGTGTATTAGTGTATTATAGAGCCTGTGTATTCTGTCCTTCAGTGTATTATAGAGCCTGTGTATTCTGTCTTTAAGTGTATTATAGAGCCTGTGTATTCTGTCCTTCAGTGTATTATAGAGCCTGTGTATTCTGTCCTTCAGTGTATTATAGAGCCTGTGTATTCTGTCTTTAAGTGTATTATAGAGCCTGTGTATTCTGTCTTTAAGTGTATTATAGAGCCTGTGTATTCTGTCTTTAAGTGTATTATAGAGCCTGTGTATTCTGTCTTTAAGTGTATTATAGAGCCTGTGTATTCTGTCCTTCAGTGTATTATAGAGCCTGTGTATTCTGTCCTTCAGTGTATTATAGAGCCTGTGTATTCTGTCTTTAAGTGTATTATAGAGCCTGTGTATTCTGTCCTTCAGTGTATTATAGAGCCTGTGTATTCTGTCTTTAAGTGTATTATAGAGCCTGTGTATTCTGTCTTTAAGTGTATTATAGAGCCTGTGTATTCTGTCTTTAAGTGTATTATAGAGCTTGTGTATTCTGTCTTTAAGTGTATTATAGAGCCTGTGTATTCTGTCTTTAAGTGTATTATAGAGCCTGTGTATTCTGTCCTTCAGTGTATTATAGAGCCTGTGTATTCTGTCTTTAAGTGTATTATAGAGCCTGTGTATTCTGTCTTTAAGTGTATTATAGAGCCTGTGTATTCTGTCTTTAAGTGTATTATAGAGCCTGTGTATTCTGTCATTAAGTGTATTATAGAGCCTGTGTATTCTGTCTTTAAGTGTATTATAGAGCCTGTGTATTCTGTCATTCCGTGTATTATAGAGCCTGTGTATTCTGTCCTTCAGTGTATTATAGAGCCTATGTATTCTGTCATTCCGTGTATTATAGAGCTTGTGTATTCTGTCCTTCAGTGTATTATAGAGGCTGTGTATTCTGTCCTTCAGTGTATTATAGAGGCTGTGTATTCTGTCTTTAAGTGTATTATAGAGCCTGTGTATTCTGTCTTTAAGTGTATTATAGAGCCTGTGTATTCTGTCCTTCAGTGTATTATAGAGGCTGTGTATTCTGTCCTTCAGTGTATTATAGAGCCTGTGTATTCTGTCCTTCAGTGTACTATAGAGCCTGTGTATTCTGTCTTTAAGTGTATTATAGAGCCTGTGTATTCTGTCCTTCAGTGTATTATAGAGCCTGTGTATTCTGTCTTTAAGTGTATTATAGAGCCTGTGTATTCTGTCCTTCAGTGTATTATAGAGCCTGTGTATTCTGTCCTTCAGTGTATTATAGAGCCTGTGTATTCTGTCTTTAAGTGTATTATAGAGCCTGTGTATTCTGTCCTTCAGTGTATTATAGAGGCTGTGTATTCTGTCTTTAAGTGTATTATAGAGCCTGTGTATTCTGTCTTTAAGTGTATTATAGAGGCTGTGTATTCTGTCTTTAAGTGTATTATAGAGCCTGTGTATTCTGTCCTTCAGTGTATTATAGAGGCTGTGTATTCTGTCTTTAAGTGTATTATAGAGCCTGTGTATTCTGTCTTTAAGTGTATTATAGAGGCTGTGTATTCTGTCTTTAAGTGTAGTATAGAGCCTGTGTATTCTGTCTTTAAGTGTATAATAGAGGCTGTGTATTCTGTCTTTAAGTGTATTATAGAGCCTGTGTATTCTGTCTTTAAGTGTATTATAGAGCCTGTGTATTCTGTCTTTAAGTGTATAATAGAGGCTGTGTATTCTGTCTTTAAGTGTATTATAGAGCCTGTGTATTCTGCCTTTAAGTGTATTATAGAGGCTGTGTATTCTGTCTTTAAGTGTATTATAGAGCCTGTGTATTCTGTCTTTCAGTGTATTATAGAGGCTGTGTATTCTGTCTTTAAGTGTATTATAGAGCCTGTGTATTCTGTCTTTAAGTGTATAATAGAGGCTGTGTATTCTGTCTTTAAGTGTATAATAGAGGCTGTGTATTCTGTCTTTAAGTGTATTATAGAGCCTGTGTATTCTGTCTTTAAGTGTATTATAGAGGCTGTGTATTCTGTCTTTAAGTGTATTATAGAGCCTGTGTATTCTGTCTTTAAGTGTATTATAGAGGCTGTGTATTCTGTCTTTAAGTGTATAATAGAGGCTGTGTATTCTGTCTTTAAGTGTATAATAGAGCCTGTGTGTTCTGTCTTTAAGTGTATTTTAGAGCCTGTGTATTCTGTCCTTCAGTGTATTATAGAGCCTGTGTATTCTGTCCTTCAGTGTATTATAGAGCCTGTGTATTCTGTCTTTAAGTGTATTACAGAGCCTGTGTATTCTGTCCTTCGATGTATTATAGAGCCTGTGTATTCTGTCCTTCAGTGTATTATAGAGCCTGTGTATTCTGTCTTTAAGTGTATTTTAGAGCCTGTGTATTCTGTCCTTCAGTGTATTATAGAGCCTGTGTATTCTGTCCTTCAGTGTATTATAGAGCCTGTGTATTCTGTCCTTCAGTGTATTATAGAGCCTGTGTATTCTGTCTTTAAGTGTATTATAGAGCCTGTGTATTCTGTCCTTCCGTATATTATAGAGCCTGTGTATTCTGTCCTTCAGTGTATTTTAGAGCCTGTGTATTCTGTCTTTAAGTGTATTATAGAGGCTGTGTATTCTGTCTTTAAGTGTATTATAGAGCCTGTGTATTCTGTCTTTAAGTGTATTATAGAGGCTGTGTATTCTGTCCTTCAATGTATTATAGAGGCTGTGTATTCTGTCTTTAAGTGTATTATAGAGGCTGTGTATTCTGTCTTTAAGTGTATAATAGAGGCTGTGTATTCTGTCTTTAAGTGTATAATAGAGCCTGTGTGTTCTGTCTTTAAGTGTATTTTAGAGCCTGTGTATTCTGTCCTTCAGTGTATTATAGAGGCTGTGTATTCTGTCCTTCGATGTATTATAGAGCCTGTGTATTCTGTCCTTCAGTGTATTTTAGAGCCTGTGTATTCTGTCTTTAAGTGTATTATAGAGGCTGTGTATTCTGTCTTTAAGTGTATTATAGAGCCTGTGTATTCTGTCTTTAAGTGTATAATAGAGGCTGTGTATTCTGTCTTTAAGTGTATAATAGAGCCTGTGTGTTCTGTCTTTAAGTGTATTTTAGAGCCTGTGTATTCTGTCCTTCAGTGTATTATAGAGGCTGTGTATTCTGTCCTTCAGTGTATTTTAGAGCCTGTGTATTCTGTCTTTAAGTGTATTATAGAGCCTGTGTGTTCTGTCTTTAAGTGTATTTTAGAGCCTGTGTATTCTGTCCTTCAGTGTATTATAGAGGCTGTGTATTCTGTCCTTCAGTGTATTTTAGAGCCTGTGTATTCTGTCTTTAAGTGTATTATAGAGCTTGTGTATTCTGTCTTTAAGTGTATTATAGAGCCTGTGTATTCTGTCCTTCAATGTATTATAGAGCCTGTGTATTCTGTCTTTAAGTGTAGTATAGAGCCTGTGTATTCTGTCCTTCAGTGTATTATAGAGCCTGCATATTCTTTCCTTCAATGTATTATAGAGCCTGTGTATTCTGTCTTTAAGTGTATAATTGAGGCTGTGTATTCTGTCTTTAAGTGTATTATAGAGCCTGTGTATTCTGTCCTTCAGTGTATTTTAGAGCCTGTGTATTCTGTCTTTAAGTGTATTACAGAGCCTGTGTATTCTGTCCTTCGATGTATTATAGAGCCTGTGTATTCTGTCCTTCAGTGTATTTTAGAGCCTGTGTATTCTGTCTTTAAGTGTATTATAGAGGCTGTGTATTCTGTCTTTAAGTGTATTATAGAGCCTGTGTATTCTGTCTTTAAGTGTATTATAGAGGCTGTGTATTCTGTCTTTAAGTGTATTATAGAGCCTGTGTATTCTGTCTTTAAGTGTATAATAGAGGCTGTGTATTCTGTCTTTAAGTGTATTATAGAGGCTGTGTATTCTGTCTTTAAGTGTATTTTAGAGCCTGTGTATTCTGTCTTTAAGTGTATAATAGAGGCTGTGTATTCTGTCTTTAAGTGTATTATAGAGCCTGTGTATTCTGTCTTTAAGTGTATTATAGAGCCTGTGTATTCTGTCTTTAAGTGTATTATAGAGGCTGTGTATTCTGTCTTTAAGTGTATTATAGAGGCTGTGTATTCTGTCTTTAAGTGTATAATAGAGGCTGTGTATTCTGTCTTTAAGTGTATAATAGAGCCTGTGTGTTCTGTCTTTAAGTGTATTTTAGAGCCTGTGTATTCTGTCTTTAAGTGTATTTTAGAGCCTGTGTATTCTGTCTTTAAGTGTATTATAGAGGCTGTGTATTCTGTCCTTCAGTGTATTATAGAGCCTGTGTATTCTGTCTTTAAGTGTATTATAGAGGCTGTGTATTCTGTCTTTAAGTGTATTATAGAGCCTGTGTATTCTGTCTTTAAGTGTATAATAGAGGCTGTGTATTCTGTCTTTAAGTGTATAATAGAGCCTGTGTGTTCTGTCTTTAAGTGTATTTTAGAGCCTGTGTATTCTGTCCTTCAGTGTATTATAGAGGCTGTGTATTCTGTCCTTCAGTGTATTATAGAGCCTGTGTATTCTGTCTTTAAGTGTATTATAGAGCCTGTGTATTCTGTCCTTCAATGTATTATAGAGCCTGTGTATTCTGTCTTTAAGTGTATTATAGAGCCTGTGTATTCTGTCCTTCAGTGTATTATAGAGCCTGTGTATTCTGTCCTTCAATGTATTATAGAGCCTATGTATTCTGTCTTTAAGTGTATAATAGAGGCTGTGTATTCTGTCTTTAAGTGTAATATAGAGGCTGTGTGTTCTGTCTTTAAGTGTATTTTAGAGCCTGTGTATTCTGTCTTTAAGTGTATTATAGAGCCTGTGTATTCTGTCCTTCAGTGTATTATAGAGCCTGTGTATTCTGTCTTTAAGTGTATAATAGAGGCTGTGTATTCTGTCCTTCAGTGTATTATAGAGCCTGTGTATTCTGTCCTTCAGTGTATTATAGAGCCTGTGTATTCTGTCCTTCAGTGTATTATAGAGGCTGTGTATTCTGTCCTTCAGTGTATTATAGAGCCTGTGTATTCTGTCCTTCAGTGTATTATAGAGCCTGTGTATTCTATCTTTAAGTGTATTATAGAGGCTGTGTATTCTGTCTTTAAGTGTATAATAGAGGCTGTGTATTCTGTCCTTCAGTGTATTATAGAGCCTGTGTATTCTGTCCTTCAGTGTATTATAGAGCCTGTGTATTCTGTCCTTCAGTGTATTTTAGAGCCTGTGTATTCTGTCCTTCAGTGTATTATAGAGCCTGTGTATTCTGTCTTTAAGTGTATTATAGAGGCTGTGTATTCTGTCTTTAAGTGTATAATAGAGGCTGTGTATTCTGTCCTTCAGTGTATTATAGAGCCTGTGTATTCTGTCCTTCAGTGTATTATAGAGCCTGTGTATTCTGTCCTTCAGTGTATTATAGAGCCTGTGTATTCTGTCCTTCAGTGTATTATAGAGCCTGTGTATTCTGTCCTTCAGTGTATTATAGAGCCTGTGTATTCTGTCCTTCAGTGTATTATAGAGCCTGTGTATTCTGTCTTTAAGTGTATTATAGAGCCTGTGTATTCTGTCCTTCAGTGTAATATAGAGCCTGTGTATTCTGTCCTTCAGTGTATTATAGAGCCTGTGTATTCTGTCCTTCAGTGTATTATAGAGCCTGTGTATTCTGTCTTTAAGTGTATTATAGAGCCTGTGTATTCTGTCCTTCAGTGTAATATAGAACCTGTGTAGTCTGTCCTGTGTTAAGTTAATCAATATATTAGATTCCTTAACATAGTAAGATGGCCAACAGTACGCTCAAGTTCTCCAGACCTGGAGGGAACAGGGAGGACAACGCCTCGAGGAAATAAGGTATTTCTATAACCCACCAACTCCTCAAATATTCCTGTTACCCACCAACTCCTCAAATATTCCTGTTACCCACCAACTCCTCAAATATTCCTGTTACCCACCAACTCCTCAAATATTTCTGTTACCCACCAACTCCTCAAATATTCCTGTTACCCACCAACTCCTCAAATATTCCTGTTACCCACCAACTCCTCAAATATTTCTATAACCCACCAACTCCTCAAATATTTCTGTTACCCACCAACTCCTCAAATATTCCTGTTACCCACCAACTCCTCAAATATTCCTGTTACCCACCAACTCCTCAAATATTTCTATAACCCACCAACTCCTCAAATATTTCTGTTACCCACCAACTCCTCAAATATTCCTGTTACCCACCAACTCCTCAAATATTTCTGTTACCCACCAACTCCTCAAATATTTCTGTTACCCACCAACTCCTCAAATATTTCTGTTACCCACCGACTCCTCAAATATTTCTATAACCCACCAACTCCTCAAATATTTCTATAACCCACCAACTCCTCAAATATTTCTGTTACCCACCAACTCCTCAAATATTCCTGTTACCCACCAACTCCTCAAATATTTCTGTTACCCACCAACTCCTCAAATATTTCTATAACCCACCAACTCCTCAAATATTTCTGTTACCCACCAACTCCTCAAATATTCCTGTTACCCACCAACTCCTCAAATATTTCTGTTACCCACCAACTCCTCAAATATTTCTGTTACCCACCAACTCCTCAAATGTTCCTGTTACCCACCAACTCCTCAAATATTCCTGTTACCCACCAACTCCTCAAATATTTCTGTTACCCACCAACTCCTCAAATATTCCTGTTACCCACCAACTCCTCAAATATTCCTGTTACCCACCAACTCCTCAAATATTTCTATAACCCACCAACTCCTCAAATATTTCTGTTACCCACCAACTCCTCAAATATTCCTGTTACCCACCAACTCCTCAAATATTCCTGTTACCCACCAACTCCTCAAATATTTCTATAACCCACCAACTCCTCAAATATTTCTGTTACCCACCAACTCCTCAAATATTCCTGTTACCCACCAACTCCTCAAATATTTCTGTTACCCACCAACTCCTCAAATATTTCTGTTACCCACCAACTCCTCAAATATTTCTGTTACCCACCGACTCCTCAAATATTTCTATAACCCACCAACTCCTCAAATATTTCTATAACCCACCAACTCCTCAAATATTTCTGTTACCCACCAACTCCTCAAATATATCTATAACCCACCAACTCCTCAAATATTTCTGTTACCCACCAACTCCTCAAATATTCCTGTTACCCACCAACTCCTCAAATATTTCTGTTACCCACCAACTCCTCAAATATTTCTGTTACCCACCAACTCCTCCAATATTCCTGTTACCCAACAACTCCTCCAATATTTCTGTTACCCACTAACTCCTCAAATATTTCTGTTACCCACCAACTCCTCCAATATTCCTGTTACTCACCAACTCCTCAAATATTCCTGTTACCCACCAAGTTAAGGATTTTAACAGTACATATCAACCTTACTTATTCTACTGTACAACATTCTGCCCTCCAGAGACTGAAGAGCTCTGCTCTCTTTTACAGACATTGGATGACCACAGTCACCTTGTATTTGTACAGAACCATATCCATGAGATCCTAGAACTCCTAGTAGAGCCAGGTAAGTGTCACACTTCATATTTGATGTCAGTGCATGCAGTTGTAATTGGACCAAAACTTCAGAATGAATCTTAAAAGTGAAATATTCAAATGATTTTTCTTCTGGTTGTTTTGAAACATTTCACTTTTTTTCATTTTCAGTTTTTAAGAAATTCCAGGTTTTCAGTATCATTACTTATATAACTGGAGTGAAAACTGAGATCAGTAGGACAGTATTTTTGATATCATTCACTTTCCATAGATTGAATCAGTGTTCTATTTTTAGATGTGTTGAGTAGCGTGGGTCCTGGGGACCTGGCTGTTAGTCTAGCTGCCCTGGAATCTCTCGGTTTCCTTATCACTGGCTCTGTGGATAAATGCAAGTAAGTAGTGAACAATTCTCCAGTTTTTATACTGTACCCAATAAACCATCCATTTGATCATCATGTTGTTTCTGTACAACAGTAATTAATAATCAATGATATTCTGAATAAATTACTATTGAGGCAGGCTTCTTTCATAGTCAATGGTGATCCCTTATAATTGAAGTTTATGCAGGAGATACACCATAGACACACTGCAGGACCCTCACTAACCTGTCATATACACAGCAGCACCCTCACTGACCTGTCATATACACAGCAGTACTCTCACTGACCTGTCATATACACAGCAGCACCCTCACTGACCTGTCATATACACAGCAGCACCCTCACTGACCTGTCATATACACAGCAGGACTCTCACTGACCTGTCATATACACAGCAGGACTCTCACTGACCTGTCATATACACAGCAGGACTCTCACTGACCTGTCATATACACAGCAGGACTCTCACTGACCTGTCATATACCCAGCAGTACTCACACTGACCTGTCATATACACAGCAGGACTCTCACTGACCTGTCATATACCCAGCAGCACCCTCACTGACCTGTCATATACACAGCAGGACTCTCACTGACCTGTCATATACACAGCAGGACTCTCACTGACCTGTCATATACACAGCAGGACTCTCACTGACCTGTCATATACACAGCAGTACCCTCACTGACCTGTCATATACACAGCAGGACACGTAATTACCCAAATTTTGTCTTCAAATTTTTGTGTACAGAGCAGGACTTAAGATTGTGAGAATTTCTGTTATAGGTCTTTGTTACCCATACAAGATATAGCCCTACTTCAAACTGTACAGCACAGAACTGGCTTCTCAAAGGTGGGTAACCATACAACACAGAACTGGCTTCTCAAAGGTAGGTAACCATACAACACAGAACTGGCTTCTCAAAGGTGGGTAACCATACAACACAGAACTGGCTTCTCAAAGGTAGGTAACCATACAACACAGAACTGGCTTCTCAAAGGTAGGTAACCATACAACACAGAACTGGCTTCTCAAAGGTAGGTAACCATACAACACAGAACTGGCTTCTCAAAGGTAGGTAACCATACAACACAGAACTGGCTTCTCAAAGGTAGGTAACCATACAACACAGAACTGGCTTCTCAAAGGTAGGTAACCATACAACACAGAACTGGCTTCTCAAAGGTAGGTAACCATACAACACAGAACTGGCTTCTCAAAGGTAGGTAACCATACAACACAGAACTGGCTTCTCAAAGGTAGGTAACCATACAACACAGAACTGGCTTCTCAAAGGTAGGTAACCATACAACACAGAACTGGCTTCTCAAAGGTAGGTAACCATACAACACAGAACTGGCTACTTTAAGGTAGGTAACCATACAACACAGAACTGGCTTCTCAATTGTAAGTAACCATACAAGACAGAACTGGCTTCTCAATGGTAGGTAACCATACAACACAGAACTGGCTACTTTAAGGTAGGTAACCATACAACACAGAACTGGCTTCTCAATTGTAGGTAACCATACAACACAGAACTGGCTTCTCAATTGTAGGTAACCATACAAGACAGAACTGGCTTCTCAATTGTAGGTAACCATACAACACAGAACTGGCTACTTTAAGGTAGGTAACCATACAACACAGAACTGGCTACTTTAAGGTAGGTAACCATACAACACAGAACTAGCTACTTTAAGGTAGGTAACCATACAACACAGAACTAGCTACTCGAAGGTAGGTAACCATACAACACAGACTGGCTTCTCGAAGGTAGGTAACCATACAACACAGAACTGGCTTCTCAAATGTAGCTAACCATACAACACAGAACTGGCTTCTCAAAGGTAGCTAACCATACAACACAGACCTGGCTTCTCAAAGGTAGGTAACCATACAACACAGAACTGGCTACTCAAAGGTAGGTAACCATACAACACAGAACTGGCTTCTCAAAGGTAGGTAACCATACAACACAGAACTGCCAATTTTAAGGTAGGTAACCATACAACACAGAACTGCCAATTTTAAGGTAGGTAACCATACAACACAGAACTGGCTTCTCAAAGGTAGGTAACCATACATCACAGAACTGCCTATTTTAAGGTAGGTAACCATACAACACAGAACTGCCAATTTTAAGGTAGGTAACCATACAACACAGAACTGGCTTCTCAAAGGTAGGTAACCATACATCACAGAACTGCCTATTTTAAGGTAGGTAACCATACAACACAGAACTGCCAATTTTAAGGTAGGTAACCATACAACACAGAACTGGCTTCTCAAAGGTAGGTAACCATACATCACAGAACTGCCTATTTTAAGGTAGGTAACCATACAACACAGAACTGGCTTCTCAAAGGTAGGTAACCATACAACACAGAACTGGCTACTTTAAGGTAGGTAACCATACAACACAGAACTGGCTACTTTAAGGTAGGTAACCATACAACACAGAACTGGCTACTTTAAGGTAGGTAACCATACAACACAGAACTGCCAATTTTAAGGTAGGTAACCATACAACACAGAACTGCCAATTTTAAGGTAGGTAACAATACAACACAGAACTGTAAGGAGATAGATGATGATGATGACGATGCTGATGAAATTTTTATAAAATTCCCAATCACTTGTTACTTGTTTAAACTTTCAAATTATGATCAAATTGAACTGATTTCTAAATACCATGGATTTTGGAAATATATATTTTAGGAGGGAAAAACAACTCACATATAACTTATCGGTTTCAGATGACACGAATATTTTCATTACGTCTGCTGCAAAACTGGATAAAAGACTCCTTGATGCCGAACCCATTTGGAATATCTTCGTGTATAGCTAGTGGGCGTCGCCTCTCCTGGCCCATGGCAGGTAATAATCTCTCTATCAGGTGTAAACTTATTGTAGCCAGTGGTGGTCACTTGTCCTGGTTTGTGACCGGTAATAATCTCTCTATCAGGTATAAACTTATTGTAGCCAGTGGTGGTCACTTGTCCCGGTCTGTGACCGGTAATAATCTCTCTATCAGGTATAAACTTATTGTAGCCAGTGGTGGTCACTTGTCCCGGTCTGTGACCGGTAATATTCTCTATCAGGTATAAACTTATTGTAGCCAGTGGTGGTCACTTGTCCCGGTCTGTGACCGGTAATATTCTCTATCAGGTATAAACTTATTGTAGCCAGTGGTGGTCACTTGTCCCGGTCTGTGACCGGTAATAATCTCTCTATCAGGTATAAACTTATTGTAGCCAGTGGTGGTCACTTGTCCCGGTCTGTGACCGGTAATATTCTCTATCAGGTATAAACTTATTGTAGCCAGTGGTGGTCACTTGTCCCGGTCTGTGACCGGTAATAATCTCTCTATCAGGTATAAACTTATTGTAGCCAGTGGTGGTCACTTGTCCCGGTCTGTGACCGGTAATAATCTCTCTATCAGGTATAAACTTATTGTAGCCAGTGGTGGTCACTTGTCCCGGTCTGTGACCGGTAATATTCTCTATCAGGTGTAAACTTATTGTAGCCAGTGGTGGTCACTTGTCCCGGTCTGTGACCGGTAATAATCTCTCTATCAGGTATAAACTTATTGTAGCCAGTGGTGGTCACTTGTCCCGGTCTGTGACCGGTAATATTCTCTATCAGGTATAAACTTATTGTAGCCAGTGGTGGTCACTTGTCCCGGTCTGTGACCGGTAATAATATCTCTATCAGGTATAAACTTATTGTAGCCAGTGGTGGTCACTTGTCCCGGTCTGTGACCGGTAATATTCTCTATCAGGTATAAACTTATTGTAGCCAGTGGTGGTCACTTGTCCCGGTCTGTGACCGGTAATATTCTCTATCAGGTATAAATTTATTGTAGCCAGTGGTGGTCACTTGTCCTGGTCTGTGACCGGTAATATTCTCTATCAGGTATAAACTTATTGTAGCCAGTGGTGGTCACTTGTCCCGGGAATAGATCCAACTTTCAAAGAGCATATAAAGATAAAACAATGGTGGGCACCAAGGTCCTTCTGGGATCTCATGTATCTAATTCTTATTACAGGAGAGGACAAAGACAATAAAGCTGATCAGGTCACAAAACGTGGCAAAATAGCAACCAATGCTCATGCTGTTCCGAAGGGCCATGCTAAAGGGTAAGGTTTGTTACTTTTGACATGAAATAGGAGAGGGTAGTGATAGTCAGTAGAGCTTCGAAATAATCCAACATAGTGTAGAAATCAAAGATGTAAGTGTTTCTCTGTGCTGATATTGTTTCTTAGGGTGTCGAGATCATGGACTACCTTGTGTTTTTAGGTCATCTGAACCGAAGGGTCAAGATGACCTATAGTCATTGTGTTTTGTCCTTCGTTGTACATTGTGTGTTATGTTCTTTAAAAACCCTACTTCTCTTTTAAACCTGGATGCATTATTGGTTGAGGGTAATTATTCATTAAATTCAGAATTTTGATTCAACCCCTAGTGATTAAGAGATGGGGCTTTTACTTGCTTCAAAACGCTACTCCTTTTTAATGCTTTAATGGATTTCAACCAAATTTGGTTTGAAACATCATTGAGAGTGGGGAATCATTTCTTAAATACTGAAAGTTAATTCAACTCTAGTTAATAGGAATGACCATGATCCACTTGAAAGGTTACAGGGATAAAATATGTTTAAACCTTTAAACGACTTTTTCTCAATAACCAAAAGGCCAAGGATGATGATATTAGGTCTGTAGCATGCTCGGATGAAGGGCTACCAACTGTGTTAATATGAATGACATTGGCCAATCTTCAAGGTCACGGGGGTCTTTTCAATAACCTAAAGGCCAAGGGTCTTGATATTGGGCCTGTGGCTTGCTTTTTCAACAAGCAATATGTCTAGAGTAATGGCAATTGTGTAGTGCATGTATAAAGAATATGATTTCAAGTTTGCAGAAAATGTCTTGATGAACCAACAATGTCTTCTATGTAAGCTGTAGTGTTGTTGAGCAATTTATTTTAGGCCTATTTTGCCGCTTTCATATGTAGTCAGATGACTGGTAAGCCCCATAGGTCTCTTGTTTGTATTTAAACATATTGTAACAAATACAACAGGATTCTGTTTTCAAACATATGTTCAGACCTTTCCCTTGTGTCTTCAGTGATTATGTTCTAGCTGTTCACTTGTATCAACAAAAATTTTAAAGTTGCATTCTTATTTTCAATCAAATTCTGAAAAAAATTAATTTGCTGTTTTCTTTCTCAAGGAGCAAAATAATCATTATGAGTCAAGTCAGCAAGCAGACGATATCCCGAGTAAGTATTTTCTGAGTATAAAACCCTGACGATCAGACGATATCCCGAGTAAGTATTTTCTGAGTATAAAACCCTGATGATCAGACGATATCCCGAGTAAGTATTTTCTGAGGATAAAACCCTGACGATCAGACGATATCCCGAGTAAGTATTTTCTGAGTATAAAACCCTGACGATCAGACGATATCCCGAGTAAGTATTTTCTGAGTATAAAACCCTGATGATCAGACGATATCCCGAGTAAGTATTTTCTGAGTATAAAACCCTGACGATCAGACGATATCCCGAGTAAGTATTTTCTGAGTATAAAACCCTGACGATCAGACGATATCCCGAGTAAGTATTTTCTGAGTATAAAACCCTGATGATCAGACGATATCCCGAGTAAGTATTTTCTGAGTATAAAACCCTGATGATCAGACGATATCCCGAGTAAGTATTTTCTGAGTATAAAACAGACGATATCCCGAGTAAGTATTTTCTGAGTATAAAACCCTGACGATCAGACGATATCCCGAGTAAGTATTTTCTGAGTATAAAACCCTGACGATCAGACGATATCCCGAGTATTTGATATGCTATTCATATGTTCTGGATATAATTCTGTATCAAAGTTAAGTTGAAATTGATATTTCTGTAACTTAACTCCAGTTGTTTTACAATCATTGAATCAGACAAACCAGTCAATGTTGTAAACATGGAAACTAAGACATGTGATATCTAAAACAGATAAAATGGATTCACTTTGTTCTCAAATTTAAGGAAAAATGGCGTGTATGTACCTCCCTTAATTTAACTTAGAGGTAAACAAATGATAAAAGTTTTATCTTGGTTTGCAACATTATTTATTTTCAGAGCTCTGGAACACTGGAAAATAGCAGCATCAAGATACATCGATGTCATTACTCCTACCTGTACCTACTGTCTCCCCTCAGGTAACACACAGGTGTCACTATACTTACCTGTACATACTGTCTCCCTCAGGTAACACACAGGTGTCACTATACTTATCTGTACCTACTGTCTCCCCTCAGGTAACACACAGGTGTCACTATACTTACCTGTACCTACTGTCTCCCCTCAGGTAACACACAGGTGTCACTATACTTACCTGTACCTACTGTCTCCCCTCAGGTAACACACAGGTGTCACTATACTTATCTGTACCTACTGTCTCCCCTCAGATAACACACAGGTGTCACTATACCTGCCTGTACCTACTGTCTCCCCTCAGGTAACACACAGGTGTCACTATACTTACCTGTACCTACTGTCTCCCCTCAGATAACATACAGGTGTCACTATACTTACCTGTACCTACTGTCTCCCCTCAGGTAACATACAGGTGTCACTATACTTACCTGTACCTACTGTCTCCCCTCAGGTAACACACAGGTGTTGGCTTTTGTGCGGCATCTTCCATCGTCCGTCATCTGTCGTAAACATTTTCAACTTCTACAAGTTCTACATGTCTCATTGAGCTGAAACTTATCTGAAATGATTGGGACAGGATCCTGACCAAAGTTTGTTAATTTCGAGTTGGTCCGAAATCCAACATAGCCGACATCTTGAAAACACATTTTCGACTTCTTCTCAAGTTCCACTATTGCAATTGAGCGAAAACTTGCATGAAATGATCATGACATGGCACTGACCAAAGTTTGTTAATTTTGGGTTGGTCCGAAATCCAAGATGGTCGCCATTTTGAAAACACATTTTCGACTTCTTCTCAAGTTCTACCTGTGACCTTGAGCTGAAACTTGCCTGAAATGATCGTGACCTGGTCCTGACCAAAGTTTGTTAATTTCGCGTTGGTCCGAAATCCAACATGGCCGCCATCTTGAAAACACATTTTCGACTTCTTCTCAAGTTCCAACAGTGCAATTGAGCGAAAACTTGCATGAAATGATCATGACATGGCACTGACCAAAGTTTGTTACTTCAAACATCCTCTAAATAACCAGAACACACAGGGTGATGATATTTGGCCTGTAGCATGCTGGGATGAAGGTTTACGAAGTTTGTTGAAATGAATAACCTTAACCCACTTTCAAGGTGGTGGCTGAGTGTCCTTGATTCTTAAATCCAGGTGAAATAAGTTCAAAATTTGAAATCTTGTATTTTATGTCAGATGACCGTTAAGGCCCATGGGCCTCTTGTTTTAATTGATGTAACTATTGAGAGTTTGTTTTCATTTATTGATGTATTCAGATCAGTGACGATAGAGAAATGCCGTAACTCAACAATCATCCTGGGACCAGTGGAGACCACAGTGTACCTCAGTCATTGTGAGAAAGTGACTCTCATCGCTCCATGTCGCTTTCTCATGATAAGGTTAGTACTTCTAGGTTTTGCTCCATCCGAAGAAGCCTGGAGTTGGGATATCAGGCCAGTAGCATACTCGGGAGTAGAACTGTGAAATTTGTTCTGATGTATGACCTTGATCCATTTTTAAGGTTCCAGGGGTCAGATGTGTTAAAATTTCCAAGCAATTTTTTAGCTCACCTGGCACCGGCATCCACCGTCTGTCAACTTTTACTATATATTGTTGACTGAGAGGATTTGGGCTGAAGCATCCTTAGGGAAAGATGGGAACCAATTTTGTGTAAAAACACACACCCCACCATGGCCTGAGAGATGGCCCGTTAGCAAAAAAATCAATCAATTTCTTTAAAATTTTCAGGAATTGCAGGATATTGTCCAAATTGGGTGTGAAGGATGCTTGGGTGTAGGAAAATTATTGTGTAAACAATGGGTCTTGGCCTCGTGGGGCTAGAGGGGGCGGGTCCAATAGAGAGATCTATCAATTCTTCAAAATCTCTCTTGTTCTTCAGAAATTGCAAAATATTGTCAAAATTGGTATGAAGCGTGCTTGGGTGAAGGAAAATCAGTTTTGTATAACAGTGGGGCTCGACCCCTTGAGGCCAGATGGTAGGTGTCCAACAGGGAAAATCTAACCTTTACAGTAGATTTAGTTCATTTTCATATCATTGCTTTACACCATTAACAATTCTTTGGATCTTTGGTTCTTTGAAACAGTTGTGATCCCCACTGAATAGCTAAAGCACTGCTGAGCATCAAGAGATAAACACAATCATAACTGATAATTTGTCCTGGGGTCTGGTCCCACCCCAGGACTGATTATATATTAGAAGTCATCCCATAATTTAATAGCATTGCTGGACACACCAGAGATAAGCAATTGATCTCTGTCCCCACCCCTAGGGAATTTGAAGCCGTATCTATTGGGTGAGGCCCATCAGGGGAAAGTTTTGCATTATTGACTTAAATATTTGGGTGAGTGATACAGGCCCTCTCGTCCTCTTGTTTTAAATAACCAACAGGTCTAGGCTCTTGGGCTGGTAGAATTGTGGGAAAAAATGCTATCAAAATCTGTTCAACAAATGACAAGGAGTCTCTTTCCAACTATGAGGAGTGAGATGGTCTGGTTTGAAAAAATAAAAAGTTCAAAGGTCAGGATACTGGAAAGATGTGTGAGTTCAGGATCAACAAGAAAATTGCATGACATTTCAAACAGCGTAAAAAAGTTGTGTGCGATACAGTCCCATTAGGCCTTTTGTTTACATCTGGTATACTGTTGGTTTTGTTGCATTTATGAATTCTTTGGAATAACTTCTTTTGTGAATATGTTGATCTCTGTTGAGTGTGTCTGACAGTTGGTGTTGTTGTGGTAAGGATTCACTAGCAGATGTTGCATACTTTTCAGTGGAAGCACACTTTGTAACTTACACTTGATGACACCGAGCCGACCAATGCTCCTCGGTGGGAATGATACCATCCTTCTGGCCCCCTACCACACACACTATCCTTGTTTGGAGGACCATCTCACCACTGCCGGACTGTGTCCCGACAGGAACCTTTGGAACCAGCCACTATGTGTGGGTAAGTGTGCAGTCACTGTCTGAAGTAGCCATTGTGTGGGTAAGTGTGGAGTCACTGTCTGAAGTAGACACTGTGTGGATAAGTGTGGAGTCACTGTCTGAAGTAGACACTGTGTGGATAAGGATGGAGTCACTGTCTGAAGTAGACACTGTGTGGATAAGTATGGAGTCACTGTCTGAAGTAGACACTTTGTGTGGGTAAGTGTGGAGTCACTGTCTGAAGTAGACACTGTGTGGATAAGTATGGAGTCACTGTCTGAAGTAGACACTTTGTGTGGGTAAGTGTGGAGTCACTGTCTGAAGTAGACACTGTGTGGGTAAGTGTGAAGTCACTGTCTGAAGTAGACACTGTGTGGGTAAGTGTGGAGTCACTGTTTGAAGTAGACACTGTGTGGGTAAGTGTGGAGTCACTGTCTGAAGTAGACACTGTGTGGGTAAGTGTGGAGTCACTGTCTGAAGTAGACACTGTGTGGATAAGTGTGAAGTCACTGTCTAAAGTAGACACTGTGTGGGTAAGTGTGGAGTCACTGTTTGAAGTAGACACTGTGTGGGTAAGTGTGGAGTCACAGTCTGAAGTAGACACTGTGTGGGTAAGTGTGGAGTCACTGTCTGATGTAGACACTGTGTGTGGGTAAGTGTGGAGTCACTGTCTGAAGTAGACACTGTGGGTAAGTGTGGAGTCACTGTCTGAAGTAGACACTGTGTGTGGGTAAGTGTGGAATCACTGTCTGAAGTAGACACTTTGTGTGGGTAAGTGTGGAGTCACTGTCTGAAGTAGACACTGTGTGGGTAAGTGTGGAGTCACTGTCTGAAGTAGACACTGTGTGGATAAGTGTGGAGTCACTGTCTGAAGTAGACACTGTGTGGATAAGTGTGGAGTCACTGTCTGAAGTAGACACTGTGTGTGGGTAAGTGTGGAGTCACTGTCTGAAGGGAAAGAGAGCTGTGTATTCCAGATTATTTGTTATTTACCCTCACCATCATGTTGTAGGACCAGAACACAAAGATGAGACACCGGTATGGGAGCTCTTACCTATACCTGAATTCTTCACCTTCAACATTCCCTTTCAAATGGAGGGCAGTACGACGGTATGTATAGAAAGGTGCTCATTGTTTGTTCTTCTGTCTGCCTGTACCTACAGTGTAGAGTTAGGACACTGGAGGTGCATAGGATGTGATGAGCCATTCACCGTTAAACATTTTTTGTAGGACTGCATTGACCTTCTGTCTACTCAAGAATGTTTTTATCGTAACATTACATGTCTAAAAACCCTTTTTATGCTAAGAGCATTTTCAATGCTCTTCAGCATGTTGCTGTCGCCCCCGGCCCTGAGTATCAGTATTTCGTTTTTATTGGTTCATAAATCGAAAGTTTACTCCTACTCCATCTGCCGGACATCACCGTAATCATTGGATTATCGCCCCTACAAGTTGCTGATCCTGGTCATTAAATGAAACAACCTTATCGACATTTTCTTCGTTACTTGTACATCACG